CTCTAAGGTGCCACAAGTACTCCTTTTCTTTTTGCGGACACAGACTAAACACGGCTGCTACTCTGAAATATTTCACTAGGAGAGTGGTGAAGCACTGGAATGGATTACCTAGGGAGGTGGTGGAATCTCTGTTAGAGGTTTTTACGGCCCGGCTTGACAAAGCCCTGGCTGGGATGATTTAGTTGGGGTTGGTCCTGCTTTGAGCAAGGGGTTGGACTAGATGACCTTCTGAGGTCTCTTCTAACCCTAATATTCTATGACTCTATGTTTGTGCTGTGCTATTTAGATCCCACTTGACCTGGAGTACACAAGGTTGTAGGACTCAAGTAAACTTTTTTTTTAAACAAAGTATTTCAAGGGACAAATGCACAAAGAGGTGCATATTACCAAGATCTTCTTTCTGGTTAGCAAATGCTACAGGGGCAGATTTGAGTTTGGTGGAGTCGGGTCATTTTTTAGTTGACCGAACTAGAATATTAGAGAAACATGCAGATACAGCAGCCTTCAGAACAGGACTGCATGACTCCAAGCAGAAGTTGGTCCAATAAAACATATTACCTCACCTACCTTACCTCTTCAAGCCATCTGTGAGCCAAGAGGATAGGAAGAGTTTTTAAGTTGCTGAAGCAGAAAAAAGTTCTGTTTTCACAACACTTTATGTGAATGAATTACTTTAAATCTGCCTGTTAAGCAGAGATGAGTTACAGCCCTCCTGAAAGAGATATGGGTGTGAAAAACAGCAGATGGTTAACTGGGATGGAAAAATACACAAATTGTTAGAGACCCTGAAAATTCATTGCTTGTTATAAACAGCTGCTGTGTGAGGGCAGCTGTAAACCAGCTGGGGCAAAGAATGGGGTGCACACAGGCAATCGTGGCTGAGGTGTACCAGAGTACTGCTGCTTTTCACGATCATTGAAAAGTGAATAAAAAAAGCATCGCTCAGTGGGCTGCAAGGGAAGGATATCTCAGGCAGCAAGACATTTCTTAACTCCCAGAGTTTTGTTGCACTAGAGTTTCTGGATTTTAGCAGTTTTGCCACTGGAAAAGCAGAGGCCCTGAGGCACACTAAGTATTACTGAAATACCAGTCAGAAATTGCATATTAAGTGGTGCCAACAATCCCCAGATAATGAACGTCTTTGTCAGTTACTGACAAGTATTGAAATGCTGAGGACGATATAAACACCGCCTATGGGCCAAAGGGACACAGCAAGGGAAGAGACTCAGGGCAACATCAACCGCATGCTCTCTCATTGAGCACCAGCAGCCTAGTTACACCTCTACGAGTGGAAGGTAAGCAGGGGTGAAAGTGAGCCGGTACCGGCCTGTATGTATGCAGCCCACGTTAAAGCGCTGTAATGTCCCTGCCCCATTGGCAGCCCTTTAATGCTGCTGCCCCTTCCCCTGTCGGCAGCCAGGGCCGCTGACAGGGGAGGCAAAAGGACAGCTGCCCCGGGGCTGGCAATTTAAAAGGGCCCGGGGCTCCTGGCTGCTGCCTGGCCAGGCAGCATGGATGGGTTGGCTGGGGGAGGCGGACCCCTCCAGCCTCTCCCCTTCCGCCTGAGGCCCCGCCCTTTCTGGCCCTACTCTCACCCCTGAAGGTAAGCCACAATCCTTGCATCAAAAGGATACCTAGGGACGCCTGAATTCTGATCTTGACTTTGCTGTGTCTGCCTAAATCATTTCACATCTTGCAGTCTCAGATTCCCATTTGTTAACTGGGGATAACAGCATTTACCTACCTTAATGGGCATATGCATGTATGAGAATTAAGTACTTAGGCCCAGAGCCCCAAAGATACTTAGGTGCCTAAACTCCACACTTAGGCATTTAAGTCACTGGTTCAGGCACACAAAGTCCCAGTTTGGGCTCCATTGTGATCCACAAAACTCCTGCCAAACCCTGCAGGTGCCTGAACTCACTCAGGTGCCTAAGTGGATCTAAGTAAGTCCACAAACACCTAAGGCCATGTCTACATTAAAGGGACTAGAATGGCATAGCTATAGCATCATGTTTCAGAGTAACAGCCGTGTTAGTCTGTATTTGCAAAAAGGAAAGGAGGACTTGTGGCACCTTAGAGACTAACCAATTTATTTGAGCATAAGTGAGCTGTAGCTCACGAAAGCTTATGCTCAAATAAATTGGTTAGTCTCTAAGGTGCCACAAGTCCTCCTTTTCTTATAACTATAGCATCGTAGCTTTACTAGCATAACCCCATAGTATAAATAATAACAATGGAAGCGTTTTTTCTGTTGCCCCAAGAAGCCCTCTTCCCTCGACCTAGTTGCATCTACACTGGAGAGGTTAGGGTAGCTGTGGTGCTTGGGGTTATGCCACGTTGATTTACATTTTAAATATAGACCAGGCCTAAGCCCTAGTCTACACTGAGGGGGGGGAACGATCTAAGTTACGCAACTTCAGCTACATGAATAACATAGCTGAAGTCGACGTACTTAGATCGACTTACCGTGGGGTCTTCACCGCGGTGAGTCGATTGCTGCTGCTCCCCCTTCGACTTTGCCTGCACCTCTTGCGGTGCTGGAGTACAGGAGTCGATTGGAGAGCACTCAGGGGTTGATTTATCATGTCTAGACTAGACACGATAAATCGATCCCCACTGGATTGATCGCTGCCCGGCCAGTGGGTAGCGAAGACGTACCCTAAGTTTCTGCCTTTGGGGGTGTGCACTGCTGCCTCACTAGGTGTCTCAGATTCATAGATTCTAAGGCCAGAAGGGACCATCATGATCATCTACTCCAATTGCCACACTGAGGCCACAGAGCCTCACCCACCACTCCTGCAATAGACCCGGAGCCTCTGGCTGAGTTACTGAAGCCCTCAAATTATGATTTAAAGACTTCAAGTTACAGAGAATTCACTATTTACACTAGTTTAAACCTGCAAGTGACCCATGCTGCAAAGGAGAGCGAAAAAGATAGGTGTTGGGCACCTGTTTCCTGCCTAAGCCCCGGAACAATTCACAAACCAGGGGAAGAGAGGAGATCAGCCACCTGAGGCGCAGGTGAGACCTGATGGGGTAGGCATACGCAAAGGCTGCCCGCTGGATTAGGTCCCATTCAAAATGTGGTGGTGGCATTAGCAGAAGCCCATTTTGTAACTTTTAGCTCAGCGGTTAGAAGCTTCACATGGGATATGGGAGACCCAGGTTCAACTCCCCCCTCTGCTAGAGGAGAATACGGGAGATCCCTGTTCAAATCCTCCCTCTCAGGTGCATGCTCTAACCACTGAGCTATGGGATAGTCTGATGTAGGGCTCCCTCAGTCTCTCCTAGTGACTGCTCCACTGTGGATAAATAATTCAATAACCACCATTGGACTAGATGTCATAAAGGGGGGCACCACCACCGTTACTTCCATCTCCTCCTCTGGCTGATTTGCGTGGAGCAAGGCAGGCACCTAATTCATTCCCACAAGAAATGAATTAGGTGCCCAAGCTGCCTGACTGCAGGCAGCAGGTTCCGTTCTTGGATTGCTAAGTAGAGACAGGTGCCTCCCTGGAGCCTGGACTTAGGTGCCAATTTCCAAGAGGGGAATGGGGCTTAGCACACAGCCCTGTTGTCAGCATCTCCCATTAGTTAGTTTATGGAGCACTCTGCCTAGCATGCTGGCTTCTGTAGATCACATTGTAAGCTGCCTATCTCTTCCCACTCATTGTACTAGAGCCTAGGCACGTAACTCAGACTTTATGGATTGTAGTGTTGTTCTTGTCATTTTTTAGGAACCTAAAAGCTAGGTGCCACACTGTTCAGCATTGCAATGGTTAAGTCCCTTTGTGGAACCAGGCCTTAATGTTTGGAAAGCACCATCTAAGTGCTATATATTATTACAGAGCTCATTCTGATTCCAAGCAAGGCATTCATGTTCCCAAGTAGGTTCCTCTATAAAAACCCCATTTTTCACATGCGCTACATATGTAAAATATCCATCGCACAGACTAAAATTTTCCATGCTTGGTGTATGTCTGGTGGTGAATTTTCAGGGAAGGGAGGGAAGAGCAGCCTAAGATCTCCCTCCTTCCCCCCTCCCCTCACTCTGGAAGTCCATCTCTGAGGCACAAGTAGAATGTACCACTGGAGGAACTTAAAGGCTGTGATCCTAATTTGTAGGAGTGACAAACTGAAGATTGTAAGGCAATCGTGATGTACAGCCACAGAGACTAAAGGGTCCAAAAGAAACATGTCAAAATTGATAATTACCACAGCCCTATCCACTTCATCTACCCTCTCTAACGAGGGTGACTGCAGTCTACCTCTTGCATTAGCTCAGTAGTGACAGTTTCACATGTACTCAATGTGCAGGGGAATTTTAGAACGCAGTATAAATAGCTAACCACCTCATACACTTCACCAGATGATCAAAGCCCACCACAATACCTGTATTTTCTTGAAAGGAGAGAGGGTCCAAAAAGACAGGAAGAAGAATTCGCTTTTTAATATACAAAATGGTTTTGGCCTGGGAACAGTTACAATTAGGTTTCTTTCCTCTATTCACTGGTGCAAGGAAGGTACTTAAAAGGCAATAGAGAACCACACCGCCTCCCGAAACAAATTTTTGTGCACAAACTATGTCCAGCAGGGACTCTGTCATGGTGTACAGCGATTTGGAAGGTGTTATCTCAAATGTATTTAATGAGATCGCATCCTCCCCCCACTTTTGAAAATGTTTCATGGATTATGTGGGCTACGCTGGACCTCCAATCTTACACCCCTGGGAAGTCAACGTTTAAAACTTTACTTGACAGAGCTGTCAGAGCTAGTTGATAGCGTCCCTGTTTACACTCCCTCTCAAAGTGTGAGTCTTTTCCCAGAGCCTGATTATTTTCAAGAAAATAGAAGCTACATCACTGAATCTTTTAATACATACAAGAGTAATTAGGATGCTGGCTGCAATGTCAAGCAGATGGCATTCATTTACAACATTTATGCATCTGTCTATTTGAAAGATATGAGACCACAAATACCTAGAATTACAGGAGAGATTCAGACACATTTTTCAATTTTATTCTTAATGGGAGAGCAACAACATCTCAACTTATCACATCTTCCAGGGAAAACAGACAGGGATTATAGCATTTATGGTACTAAACACTGCCACAGAGTTCACTTGGCGTAGTGCTTTGCTCACTCCGTGGTTGTGATATTCCTGATTCCAGCTACTGTTGCAGGGTCATCACTAGAACAATCAGCACTAATAGAAGGGGAAAATAATTGGAACTGAAGCACAGACCATAAGATGAGCAACAGTGTCAGGCTGGTACTGTATATCATTTGTAAAACAGAGTATTATAAATGGAGCTGGAACCAGGCAATATTAAGTAAAAACATGATTAAAGTATCTCTGATGGTCTTCTGGGAGAGCAAAAAAGTCAATTCAAGCATAAAACTCAATACCTTCCAAAAGAAGAAAATAAAATTCACCAAGTGATCCTGAAATCAACTTTTCCTTTGGATAAATAGATCTGAAATAGTAGTACAATTCACAGTGGCATAAAGTTCTCAGATTGCTTGTGTGCTTGAAAATATCTCATCAGTAAAAAAATACCAGAGAGCTGGGGGCAAAACCCTTTCTCTGAATTCTGTACATGGACAAATGCACATGGGATCAGCAGGCATCAGGTCATAGGATCCATGGGAAACCAGCAGTATTGCAGAGCCGTAGATCACAGGTCAGGGGATGAGGGGTAAGAATAGTAAGGCCCATTTTCCTGTGATAAAGAAATGCGAAGTTAACTAAATGTGTCTCCCAACTCTCAAGTGCATGCAACTGAGGGATGAAAAGGAGGCATAATTAAATAAACATTCTTGACCACCCCCTCATATCCTAGTACAGTACCATCCAAACTTCACCTACCTGAGAAATGCAATGGCAACTTGCTGGGAGCCTGAAAATTGCTTGGTCCTGATTTGAACATAGATCACAGCTGCTTTAGCCTAAATCCAAAGCCGTGGCCTATCAAGACTGCAAATGCCAGCATGTAATGTGGTCAGTAAACCCCTCAAGATGGCATACTGCCTACAGACACATGCAATGTCTGATCCCCTGTATTTAAAGTGAGGGCAAAGGTGGGTCAAAATGACACAGTCACATTTGTCCTGCACTTTGGGGAGAAGTCCAGGAGGAAGAAAGGACTAAGACAGCCAAGAGCAGTTCCTCCTCTCCACTCCCTTTCCCTAATGTGTGTGTTAATTTGGGGCTGGGAAGAGGAAACAAAATTTGAAGGCCATGAAACAATACAAGACAACACAAAGCAGCGGGATGGCAGACAGCAACAATCCTCTGTGCGTCAGGTTTTAGGTTAGTTAACTTCTCAGAATATTACAGGAAACTGTTAATAGCACCATACAGCTACTCGATAAGCTATGGAAAACTGAAAGCTTAGGGAGACTGTCAGGAGATAAGCAAGGTGAGGGAGAGAAGCAAGCAGAGAGAATAAGAGACGTGAATACTTCTAAGATCTGCACCTGTAGGGCACCTAGGATTCAAGAAGAGGCAGACCAGCCATACCTCTGCATCCAAGTTAATGGACACAATCTGCTTCATCAAAGAGAGTGCTCTTCCCCAAGAAAAGCAGACCATAGTGACCCTAATCTTCATTATGGAGGTGTGGGCCCATGAGGACTACAGGTCTGCAATCCAGGCTGCTCAGATCAATGTGGAGTACTGCATGCTGCATCTCCATTTGGTTACTGATTAGGTTGGTTACAATCGTCTTCATTTAATACAAACTTGGTGTGGTCCTCGGCTAGGCAAAGAGTGGTGTCCCTAATTTACACACAAAAAATATAAGAGAAGCCTCTACTGGAATAAAGGGCTGCTTCTGGGCCAAACCCTCTCCTCAGAGATTGATGTAGAAAAGACTAATATGGGACAACTGACTGTTTCTATGAAGTCCAAAAAGAGCTGTTAGTCTCCCCAGCAATCCATCTAGACTTCCTTTTAAGAGGGGTGAAGATGACTTGTTCCAGTCTGCTTCACAAAGCTGTAAGACATTCAACAACTGTGCTTGGGAGCATAAACAGATGCTTATCACCTGAAGCCACTTACCCTGGCATCGTATTCAAGGACAAAAGGGGGGAAGTCAATCTGTTCTGGGGGTATGGCTGTGAACAATTGCTGAAGGTTTTCCACATAATGGATTTTGTCCTTTAGCCCTGAGACGGTAAAGGTTGTGAAAAACCATGTTGAGACCTAAACATAGAAAAGAAAAGAATTAAACTGATGCCATTTCTGAGTCTTCAAGTTCAACATATTATTTTGTACTCGTATAAACCAATCAAGCTTCAGCATTGTAAGTGCGAGCACACAACAATAAAGCATAGTCCACTTCAATTGCTAGTCTAGCAAGCTGTTACTTGCACTACAGAGTAGTGCTTTCAAACTCCAGACTGACATTTTTCTTAATTCTACACCCCCATATTGCTGCATGGCATTGGTGTCTATTTACTCCTTCCCATTCTGCTATTTCCAAAACTCTGCACATTACAATTAGTTTCCTCACTTCCAGATTAGTCAGATCAATCTCTTTCCTTGCCTTGGTTTTAATGCCTGTTAGCACCATTTTTTCTAGGGCAATTTAGAAAAAAAAGTGACCTTCAGTTGTCCCAATAGATAGATACTGATAGACACATCCTCTCTGTTCTGGGTATTTGTTTTCCTCTCTCCTATACACTACATCTGCTCAAATGGCATCAGAACCGACTTACAACTGTTGCCCAAAACCCTAGTCTTAATTTTAGGTCCTAACCTTGAGTCTCCTTCAGATCTTTTTATAACAGGACACAATGTAGAGCAGGTAACTCAGCTTTGTCTTCCCACATGTAAATCAGATAGGGAATTACCAGCCAGGTGTTGTTTGTTAAGGCCTATTAGTGTGGGCAACTGCTCTACATGTATTGAAATTATTTCTGGGAGGAGAAGAGGATGATTTCAAACCACACTTTTAGAGCACAATGTAAAACTGGCTTCAACCAATCTTCCCATTCAGACACCACAGCACATCCCATTCTCCCAACACAGAGTAAGTCCAGGCCCTGCTGACTGGAGGAGACAGATCTGTGTGTATGTACACTACTGAATACAGTAATTTGTTCTGGGGAATTTTTTACCCTGTCTCAAACTTGTAGTCCAGGGGCCATTTCGTCCCTCACCTTGCAATATCTCAGCCATTCCATTTGTTCAGCTATGTACTGAATACAAAGCATAATTCCCTTTGGACTACAAAACCCACGTAGTAACTACCTTTAGAATATATAAGTCAGGATCACCAATGTGGCAAATGCAGTTTGTTCGATCTAGCAGGGGAAATCATGTGAAGGCACATTGAACAGAACTGAAATTTGGCAGCAATTGAAAGCTTTGCATTGAGAGAAGAGAGCAACTTCTAATGAGAGTTGGAAGTTGCTAACGCAAACAAACGAAGGGCAGGCCCTGGATTGTTTTCAGTTGTGTTGGAGAAGAGGGGGAGTAGAGAGAGAAGCCTGAAAATGGTTTTCCTTTCACATTTTGTTTCTTGAACTATAGCAGAGTTTCCTTTTAGTTTCCTGCACTGGCATCAAGCATGTCAACAGAAAGACAGAGGTGTGGCACGAGTGAGTTCGTATAGTGCTGCTGCAATTTACGGAATGGAAAAAATCTGACAGAATGGTGGATTAAAAATAAAAAGATATTTCGTATGTAAATGTCCGTCCCAAACAGATCATCTTTAGTTGAAGCTCAACATTTGAGCTGAGGGAAGCAAATAGCGTCCTTGAAAAGTACAGTGTCCTCATTCTTAAAAAGTACAACCAGATTGGGAGGTTGAGTGTGTGCGTGCATGTAGTGGGAGGGAGAAGCAATTGGAATGAGCTGTGTTTTAAGACTGATATTTTATGATGTACCAAGGCTAGAATCAGAGCGTATACACTACTAGAAAGCGGAGGTGACCAGTTTTCCCACTGACATTCAGATTTGCTATTAGTTCTGATGGTGAGAGACCTCTGACCCGAAAACTGGCACTTGATCCCTCACTCTAACCAAGTGTTTTTGTCACTGGTCTGAACATAGCAGATTTCAAATCTTGCACCATGGTAATTTTCACTCCCTGACAACAGGAGAGGATGGAGCATCGAAACAATGAAGTTAAGTTCAGACAGTCAATATGCAGAAGCATAATTGATTACACTGAATGCAATGGTAGCAATAAAATAATATCCAAGAATACAGTATTTTGGGGGGATAAATAGAGGACTTCTCTCTCTCCAGTGCAGTCACCTTCCCGCAGCACCAGACTCTTGAGCAGACCATTGAATGCTCACATCGGAGCAGGAATAAAGAAAACAGGATTAGCCTTTTTGTGTACAATGGATTACTCAGCATTAGCCAATCACACACTGCTTTAATTACCCTCTGTTTTGGGGATCACTGCTGTGCTCTCACATCTGCAAACTTAGTTTAGAGCAACATGTTCTATAAAAAGCCACTAGCCTTACAATGCACATAATTTAAAACAGTTTCTCTTCTCAAATGAAACAAAGAATGTTGGTTGGCAGAATAAACTATGTTCATGGCCCCTACAAAACAAGCACAGCTCTGGTCCGCCAAGAAGCATGATAAAAACCTCTAGAGCCCAGCAGGCCTAGAAATAGTGTACAGAAATACAACAGATGGCAGCCATCAAGTATGCCAGAATTCAGTACAGCAATAACATTGATTATTTACATTACAGATTTAAGAACTGAAATACAATGCAGAGATGTGTAAGAGGAGGGCACTGGGGGATGGGATGGGGGAAAGCTTACAAGCAAAGAGCTCCTGTTCTTGAGCTTGAGAAATAGTGTCCTACCCCAGGAACATTGAAAAGCAAAGCAGAGAGAAACATGCACTTCAGAAGGCATCTAAGCAATTTAGATCTTATGGGACTCTCCTGGCTCAGAGACTGCAAAGACCATGTGAGTCAAGCAATCTCCTACTGGCTACTTCCTATTGTGCGTCTCATCTCACACTCCATAAGGAGATACATTCTCCTTCAATAGCCAGCAGCAGGCCCCATGAGCTCTCTCTTGTAAACAAATGCTCTCCTTGCAGGGGTAAAGTTGGGGAAGGATAAGGAGATTAGGCAGAAGACAATGGAGAGACATGAAAACAGATTACAGTCTGAAGAAACCACCCCCCAAAAAACATTTAAGTCAAAGACAAGAAGCCCAGAAGATATTATTAAGGCCAGTGAAAGAGCAGTGTCATTCTAATGACACCTTCTGCTTGGAGCAATGGCATTTACAGGCTCCAGAGGGAACTTTATCTAGATATCTTCAGGTGCATGGCAGGTTGCCGGGATGAAGGGCCTGAAGGCTGGGGTTTCTTGGACGTCCAGCATAAGAGAACGTAAAGGGAAAATTGGTAAAGCTATTGACAATAAAATGATTAGCATTCCTTTAACATATATCGATGAGAACAGAATCTCCAGAATTCTTGGGACACCAGATCTGAAGCCTCCAGAAAATTCAGCCCTGGCTCTTCTCCATTGTTTTCTCCCTGTTCTCCTTACCTCTGCTCAACTTTACTCATGTAAGAAGTGGTGTTGGGCTGGTAATTCAACGGGGGGGCATTTTCCCTCCAAGTCAGTACAGACTGAAAACCTCTGCACGATGTTGTGGGTGGGGACAGTGCTGCTGGAGGTATTGTCTTTTGCATGTCCTGCAAAACTGAGGCTCTGATTAACATTAAAGATCCCACAACATTTTTTCCTTGCAGCAATGTTTCTCTACGATGTCTGGCTGGTGACCAAAGCAAAAATTGTCACTATTGTCTTGTCATTGGTATTCTCTAGTAAATGTAACAATAAGTCTATATAATAATATCAACTAACTCTTTATATGGCACTTTTTACCTGCAGATCTCAAAGCACTTCACAATTATTATTACTGTGTGTCTGATTTGAGAGGTTGACTGAGAATAATTTGATCTTTATAGGTAAGGGAGTGAGATTTTCTTTGTTTTAGACTGTAACAAAAATTTCGCTGCCTTAGGGCCCTGGATTGTCTTTTGTGCCCCCTCCCTTCGGGGTTTGTGATCCAATTGTTGAGAAACCCTGCCTTAGAATACTAGCTTGGTCAAATTCCATCTTTGTTTAATTCCATTTTACTTCCCTATATTTCCTCTGGCTGAAAGGCCGCTAAAGTAGCAGAACTGCATTCTGGAATTTGAAGCAAGGGAGGACACTTGGCATTTTTCTCTGCATGCTAATCCCCAATATGTTCTTCCTGCTTGTAGCTATTTCAGAACTCTGCTGCAGTCTCTGACAAGAAACCTAAAGACTTGGGCAGGCTTTTTATTTACTTCACAAGCAAGATCTGTGCATGGCTATTTCCACTTGGAACCTCTAGATTTTTTTTTTTGTTCTACACGTGAATTCTGATAGGTCTGAAAAGGAAAGAGGACTACAGGCCACCACAACATTCACTTCCTTGACAACAGTTTACCACACTGTGCTACAAAGTCATGAGACCGCCTTGTCAATCTTCTCCTGGTGCTGGCCAAGATGGCCAGCCATCTATCCAGGAGAAGGAAGCTGAACGGGAGGGAGCGCTCCGCGGCAGTGGGGTCTATTTCTGTTCCTTTATCCGATCATGCCTCTGAGCAGAGTTTCTCTGGGCGGTGTCCACTGACTCCTTACATGCCTTTGAGGAGCAGTGGGTGCTGTCTAGGACTCTCTGTTCGGTGTCCCCCCTGGATTTTTGACCTCTTTCCCAATCCGGTTTTTCTTTCTCGTTGTCCTCATAAATCACTAGTAGCCTGGACTAAATGGTTCCACCCCCTTAGCTGAGGGGGCGGGTCTACACCCACCCGTCCTGGTGCTACTACCTCACAGCAGAAGTTCTACAAACAGTCTTCTTTACTACACAACCCTGATTCATCCCTACAGCAGGTCCATCCTGTGCAGTGATTGAGGCAGGGGTCCTGTGTGAAAAAATAGTATGTGATCATGTAATTAAAGATGGCATCATAATGCATATGCACAGGAGGCTGAATTGAGGTTGCACACGCAATCTTAATTCTGGGATTTCCTAACTTTTAAGTACTTGAATTAGCAATCTTAATAATAGTCTTTTAATAGTTTTTTGTGTGCATGTAAATGGGCCATCTTGATTATCACTACAAAAGTTTTTCTCTTGCTGATAATAGCGCATCGTAATTAATTAGCCTCTTACAGTTTGTATGGCAACTTCCACCTTCTCTCTCTCTGTGTGTGGATGTCTCTCTCTCTCTATCTTTTTACTATATGTTCCATTCTACGCATCCGATGAAGTGGACTGTAGCCCATGAAAGCTTATGCTGTGATAAATTTGTTAGTCTCTAAGGTGCCATAAGTACTCTGTTCTTTTTGCAGATACAGACTAACATGGCTGCTACTCTGAAACCTGCAATTTTCTAGTTTTTTAAAAAAGCAATATGAAAAAATTGAATTCCATCTTGTGGAACCATACTGACAATGACATGGTTCATCAGCAGGTTGCACCCTTTACATGCACTGCTCAGAGTTCTGCCACTTGATCTAACAGAACAACTCATAGCAATAGTAGGACGAGCACTAGAAGGGGAATGAGACACTTTGCCCGGAGAGTTCACAGATGACAGAGTAATAGTGAGATTCAGAGATCTTGCATTCCACTACAGGCTTGTGGGCAGGAAGTGTGCTCTAATACAGTGGTTCTCAACCAGGGGTCTGTGGCCCCCTGGGAGGACACGAGCAGGTTTCAGGGGGTCTGCCAAGCATGGTTAGCGTTAGATTCGCTAGTACCCAGGGCAGAAAGGCAAAGCCCCACTGTGTGGGGCTGCAGCCCAGGGCCCCGAGCCCCACCACCCAGGTCTAAAGCCAAATCCTGAGCAACTTAGCTTTGCGGTGCCTTTGTGGCATGGGGCCCCAGACAACTGCCCTGCTTGCTACCCGCTAACACCGGCCAGTTGTTGTGGCACAGCTGGGCCAGGAAATTTTTATACCATGTTGGCTGGGGCCTCAGAAAGAAAAAGGTTGAGAACCCTGCATGGTCAGAGACCCTTTTGCCTGTTTACATGAAGCGTGACCCCTTTTGCCATATTCCCTCCAATTTATCTCAGTCCTGTCTCTTTACCACCCCCTGGTTCTTCATCCCAGTCCTGTTTTCTTCACCTCAGGCTATTCATATCAGTTCCAGTCTCCTTGCCCCAGCAAGTCTTAGTTTCACCCCTCTGGACTCTACATTTCAGTCCCAGTGTCGCCAACCCCTCAACTTGTCCTCCGTTTCCTTTGCCCCATCATTCCCAGCTCCCCCACCCAAAAAGCACCTCATCCATTTTATCCCCACAACTCTGGCCTCCACTCAACCCACCACCCACTGTGGCTCCCAGCCCCAATCCACCATGCCCAGACTCCTCATCCAATCTCAGCATCCCTCTCCCGCACCCCCAATTCCTTGGCCTTGTCTCTTTGCCCAGCCAATCCCAGTTTTCCCTCTGTACCACGGATCATCATCAGATCTGTCTTCCCTTTGCACTCACCTCCTTCCTCTGCCTCACTAGTTCTCAGGCCCAGTCTGTCTCCTTGCCCAGTCAGTCACTGCTTCTCCTCTTCTGCTTCTCTTCCAGGCTGCCAGTCCCAGTCTCCACCTCCCTGCACTTAGCTTCTTGTCCCTATCTACTCCCACCAGTCTAGCTCTGGTTCCCCCTGCATTTGATTCAGGCAGCCTCTTCCTCCATGTGGCTTAGGCTCAGCAAGGCTCATTGAAAGCACAGGACACAGAATCGTGGCACTCTGTTCAGATGCCTGGAATAAGAATGGCCTGCTGTAGCCCAGAGCTACAACTGCAGGGAGCATGCCCAGTGTGGACAGACACTTTAGGGAATTTATCTGCTAAAAATCTAACAAGTCTCTACTGAGCATGTGAACTGTACTTTTCCAAAGGCCTATGTGGCCAAATTTTCACAGGGACAGCAAAGGCACATCCCTGACACAAAGGACACCTCCCTGCTCAATTTCAATCCCTGCTCCAAAGCATAAAGTTTTCAGAACTTTTAAAAGAAAAGGTAACTAGAAGTTTTAAATATGGGCAAAACAATGGATTTTTCAAACCTCATTCTCAAACAGTTGAACCATTTTGGGTGAAATTTTCAACAAACAAAATAAAAAAAACCCAACAACAACCCAAAACCAACCAAACAAAAAACACAACAAATCATGAGGCAGATACGGGGCATGGAAAATTTCATCCCAAATGATTTAAGTTTGGCAAAGTTATAAGCAACTGAAAACAGGGTTTTTTAAAAGGGAAGTATCAGGCAACCTTAAGAGGAGGCAGCACTATCAGCCCCACCTATCATAAAATGACCAGATGAGTCAGCCAGTTTTATTTTTAACATAGATGTCAGGGACACAAGGACTACAGTTCCAAACATGCAATGCTGCAAATTAATCTGACTGGAATGCTGATGGGATCAAGATGGGACAATGCATACTGGGACACAGTCTGCTCTGAGCACATCTTCATATTAAAGACAGGGCACTCATAGGCCACACACTGACCAGGTCTGCTGTAAACCCTAAATCTAATTGTTCATACTGTTCTTATCAGCAGGATATCTGAGTGCTGTCTTACTGTTGCAGGAAATGACAACCTATTCAGTGTTCACAAACTAAACCATTAATTAGCACAAACTATGGAATTAACCACCTACCTCAACCTTCTGGTCAGCAGGCATCGCCATTAGCCCAATATGCTTTGTGTTCATCCCCAAGTAAGGAAAAAAAACACAACACAACAAAACCTCAGAGGTTTCAGAATGTTAACTAAGCGATGGTCAGAAGGCTGACTATCCATGCAATTTGTGGTACAGAATGGAGGCTTTTACAAAAAGCTGCTCTTTGGGATGGACAACTACCCAAATGGATGAGGGAAGAGAAGGGCTGATGGCTACACTGGCATGGAATTAATAAGTTCATTCTAGTACAATATTTGACAAGTGTAAAGAACTATATAAATGATGGTGGTATTAATAAAATGAAATCAAGGAACCACCAGAGTTGTTTGCCCAACTCATAACCTCAGTAAAATCACGTACATTCCTCTACCATGTTTCAACTTATTGAAATTGCAGGGATGCACCCAAGCAGAATAAAACACATTTCCGATGGAATCTGGCCTGGACCTTGGGGACCACACGCCTACTCTTACTCCTATTTTACATAAAATGACAAAAGCTCTCTAATGAAGATGGCAGGTCAGGCCCGTAGTCTGACATCTAATTCGAAAGTGCAAGCATGTAAGATGTTAGTTAGGGCCACTGCTGCCACTTTAGCGCCTTCCAAGCAGAATACCCTGATTACTGTTTTGATCCACAGCTGAGAAAAAGGAAGAGAAGCAGCACCACCTTCTGGTTGCCTCTAGAGACCATAGAGCAAAGCAGCAACATGTCCTTTTGAAGAGGTTAGAAAAATCCACAGGAAATAAAAAGTTGAAGCCTTGCTTAGGCCTCCCCAAAATAAATTCTTCTTCCCTTTTCCACCTTATTATTTTATATTACAAACCAGGATCCTGACTGAGCCTATTGCTAGCTCATCACTGCTACTCAGTTTTTTGGAAAAGACCAGGACACAGGCAGTGGGAGACTCATCTACAGGTTAATGGGTTTGAATGTGACCCAGGCAAGCAGTTACCACAGCAAATATGAAGGCTATTTGGTGGCCTATGTGAAATTAATGATTAGGTCTCTATCAGCTGTGCTGTGTGTTCCTGAGCTGACCTAAGGCCAACAAGAGGGGAGGCAGGCAGGCAATCTCAGCGGAGGCCAAATAATGGCCATGGAAATCAAGTTTTCCCCCTCAGCCTCTTGAATACCCACATCAGATCAGGTTTGAGGCACACTGGTGATGAGGTGCATGTGTGTGAATCTTGCACTGACACTGCTTTTGTACCATAACTGTCCTTGGGAGTAAAAAATGCCCATGTGGTGAACCACAAAGAGAAAAAGATTCAAGTTTCTGGGTTCACATAGCTGAATGTCATATTTCACCCCAGAGAGCAGGAGAAAGGACTAATGCCTCTTTTCTTTGAACTAAATGTGGTCTCAAAGCTTTAAATTTTGTTAGAGGACACCACACAGACATGTACCCCAACCACCTGTGACACTGATCAGCTTCATTCTCAGCCTCTCAAAACAACTATTCCAGTTTATCAGAGTAGGACCTCTGCTGTAACAGCTAAAGTCTGCATCCATTCAGTACCTTAATCATGAGGCTCTGTGCCATTGTTCATTCATGTGCACTAACCAGCAATGCAACGTGGCTTAATAGCAACCTGAGAGATGAAGCGTCACTGCAGGTCAGAGCACACATAGTAAAATGGGAAGTGAGCAGTAGTGGTACACAGGGGCCCAGCACAGAGGCTCATCATTAAGGTAGGAAGGGAAAGGCTAGTGTAGCAGCCACATAAGCCAGAAATAATAGTACACAAATGCGTACTAGCTCTTGGAAAACACTTATCTAGCAGATATGGCCTAGTGTTTTGAAGTCTCTCTCTCTCTCTCTCATGACTTCTCCCCTTATACTATAATTTTATGCCCTATTTTATTTCAGAAGTCTGCATTCTTGGCCTTTGGTACAGTATACTTCACCTTTGAGCGAAATGTTGGGTGGACGAAGTACACTGCCTTCAAATTTCTCTTGTACCTGGTTTAAAGAAGAAAGTGACGCTTGTTAAAAAAAAAAAAAAAAGTAATGAGCTCATCCTATTAAATTCAGCCAAAACCACAGTTTAAAGCATTTGGAGACATTTGCCCACTTGTGCACAAGTGCTTGTGGGGCTAACCCTGACCCACAGCATTCAAATCCAGGTCAAAGGGCAGCTGCCCTAAGAAAAAGCGAGGCAAAGGAAGCGAAAAGTTTCCCTGCATCTCTAGATAAATCCTATCAGATCCTCCAGTCCATCGTGCAGACAAAGAAGGTTACACATTAGTTACAACTGTTAGCGCGGACTATACGTCTCCTCCAGCAAAATGGATGGAGCATCCCAGTGGACAATACTGTCTTTTGGAAACACAACCTTTAGAGGCAGATGGAATGAGCTCACATAAAATATATGGGCACAAACACGCCTGCCTTCACTATTGATCGATATGCAACAGGCAGGGATTGCAGAGACCAGTATATTATACAAGCATGCAAGAACTAGAATTAATCTCCTGTTGAACTGAGGCACTCACAATTTACAATAAGCATTACAGAAATTCCTAGAAATTTGTTTAAATGGTTTGATTCAGAGCAGGAAAGGAAACAGGCCTTTCTTCCTAATCTCTACTGGTTTTGTTAGACACCTGGGTCTATTGGCCCCTGTGAAATTCTTCCCAGCAATCCTTTAGCTATGGAAGCTAACTGGATAAAGGGTCTGTCTTAAAGGCTTTTTTGGGGAGAGGAGTAGAGGAGAAGGGTTTCTCTTCCTACTCATAACACTCACTTGATGTCAACGACGTCATACAGTTTCTTCAGAAAGTCGGAGTCCAGGTGATTGTAATCACTAGTGAGCGTGTGGAAGTATACTATGACATACTCCTTCACTACAATATGGTCCATGACATGGATGAAGTACAAGAGTGCCTGAGGAAGACATTTATATTTTCAGCAGAAAAATCTGTCACAGTCCCATTCTGTGCGAACAGATTTCCTTCTAACACTAATATTATTCAGACCAAAAGCCTTAAGACAAGCTGATATTATATTTTAATTATAAAAACATGATGCAACACTGAAGTCTTAAACACTGGTTCAAAAATATTGTCTGGTGATTTCTACAACCAACCTTTACTCTGCTCCATGCCCCTAACCTCCACATACTTTGTGTGGGGAACAGGATCCCTGGCATTTTACATGTGCAAGAAACAAGTTTGCTCACTGCACCTCACTTCTTCAGAGTCTCCAGCTACAGAAGCACCTTTACATCTCTTGGGAAGGAAAGGGCGGGTGTGTGTGTGTGTGTGGGGCACCCTACACTACACTGCTAAAGAACGGCCATACCGGGTCAGACCAATGGTCCATCTAGCCCAGTATCCTGTCTTCCAGCAGGGGCCAATGCCAGGCGCCAATGCTTCCCTAAAGAGAATCTAGTCACTTCCCTAGAAAAGTTTCTACCAGAAAATCTTCATATGCAAAGTTTTAGATAGGATATATTTTCATGTTAAAGTATCTATGCAAGCAGTTTGTACATAATCTGCTGTATAGGAAGATTTCTGCATAGACACACCCCTCTAGAGATATCCTGCTAAAGTTAGTGCTGAGGGTACAGTATGAGATAGTTGTACTTAATAGAAACTGCCTTTCAACCTTAACTAAAGAATCACTGCCACAGCTCTATAATTTTATATGAAGATTTTACCTTTTCCATGTCTATCAGAGTTACAGGAATATTCCTTCCAACTACCACCATCACTGTGCGACCACAATTATCCACACCTACAGAATAAAATGAGCACCACAAGCTTTTATCTTTGAATAACATTCATAAAGAAGTCTGAGTTTTTGAAACTCACCCTGTAACTCAGGGGCAGCTAACTACAAGCATTCTACAATGTCATTAACTCGCATTCTTAATAGGAGATGGAGTGCAGAGACTACTGCTCCCATTACATAGTACTCATTTTGATCTAAACAGAAGGATGCCTTGCACCTGGAAATAGTAGTCTTTAATACAGAGTTGCACTCCTTGAAGAGGGAGGCTGCAATCAATAACCCTGGACGTTCCAGCGATTTACTGACATAGCCCCTACTGTTTAGAAGCCTCCACTTTCAGCTTTATCACTACCAAAAGGGTATGTTGTTCTGGACATATAACCTATAACAGGTACCACATCCTCAAACGACTGCAATCACATTAGCATAAAGGGGCTTCATATATTTAAGTTCTTATTGACGCAGACATGAGCGACTTAGCTACAGTTGCTTAATTTAGATAGTATGTTTACAATGTGAAACATGGTATTAATTCCTTGAAAGGTATAATATACACTCCCCCCCTCCCAACAGGTAGCTGAATACATTGTAGATTTCTTTGATGGGAGTTTTCTCCATGATGTTTATATATACATGGGGAAGAAGAGTTAGAAAACCAGAGTGTAGGGTGGGGGGAATCAAATGCCATCTAGCCTGTGTGTAAATATAAGCACATTGTAAAATAATTTAGAAAGTTACTTTAATCAGTAGCTACTAGGACTGGTTTTTTTTTTTGGTAAGAAGAGTACACTTCTTTGTAGCTATAGATGGAGGTTATTTGACCTTTTAAAGGAGTTTTACAGGTTAAATATCTGGTATGTGAGACATAATTGACTTAAGCCAATGACTGTACAAATTCAAAACCTCTAATAATGCTTCTAGCAAGAATGTTCCTGTACTTTGACAAGTGTAATAATTATATTTCATCTGCCACATCCCTACCAAATACTAACAGGGAATTATTGCTTCCTGCCCCCTAAAAATAACATTCATTCACTGAACCTGTCATTTCAACTCCCTCTTCTCAGTTTGTTGCTGCTGTTGCCCTCTGATCATTACTGGGAAGCTGATTTGGAGTGTACAATACAGGAAGGCTTTCAAGGCAGAACAAGAGGAATCCTTCTCTATAGTAATTAAGTGGACATATCTGTGATTCTTGGTTAATTGATCTAGATTTATGACATGGTATGGAAACCAGGCAAACCATACTGTCCCTAACTTTGCATGGGAAGATGGATTGGACTGCACAAGACTGGATGGTCTAAACCTTATTTCCCTTAGGTTAAGCACAGTTCAAGTCCATTGGAGCTTTACTTGCTTACTTTACTTTACATTTGTTCCTTACCGACCTTTCAACACCTAGTAGCACTGGGAACTCTGAATTCTGGGATTATCTCACACTCCCACCATCCCCTCATAGAATTAGTAACCACTAACCAGGACACTCATCTAACAAATACAGAGGGCCAGGAGCATGGTGACTGGAACGAAAAAGCTGGAAAACAGGATATTGGCCTGGAAGGGACCTCCTGGCTCAGAGTCCAGTCCCCCTGATATCACGGCAATCCCATCATATAATCCTGTTTATAGATTTATCAAGTTCCATTTTAAAATCAGTTAGGTTGTTTGACCTTGCCACTCCTACTGGAAGACTGTTCCAGAACTCGCTCCTCTGATGATCAGGAACCTTCTAACTTCCAGTCCCAATTTATTCATGGCCAGCTTATACCCATTTGTTAATGTGCCAATAATGTACATTAGTTTAAACAGCTCTCCTTTCTCTCGTGTTTTTCCACTGAGGTATTTATACAGAGCAATCAGTTCCCCTTCTTGGCTTTTGTTCTGCTACACTAGGCAAGCCAAGGTCTTTGAGTCTCCTCTGCATTTCTCTGATCACCCTAGTAGCCCTTCTCTGCATTTGGTCCAGTCTGAATTCCTCTTGAACATGGTGACCAGAATTGTACACAGTATTCCAGATGAGGTCTTACCAATACTTTGTACAAATGGCATCAATACTTCTCTCTCTTTACTGGAAATACCTCACCTGATATATCCTAGGATCATACCTGCCCTTCTCATGGCTGCATTATATTGGTGGCTCAATCATCCTGTGATCAACTAATATACCAGGGCTTTCTCCTCTACAGTTTTTTCCAACTGATGAGCCCCCCAGCTTATAGCAGAAATTCTTATTGGTCCCTCAGTGAATGACCTTGCACTTTGTAGTATTAAATTTCACCCCATTTCTATTGCTCTGGTCCTCAAGGTCATCCAATTCTTCCTGTATAATACTCCAACCCTCCTCTGCATTGATGAGGCCTTCCAACATGGTCATCAGCAAACTTCGTTAGCACGTTCCTACCTTTTCTGACAAGGTCACTATGAAAATAGTAATGAAGATTGGTCCCAAGATAAACCTTGAGGCTCTTCACTAGTAACTTCCCTCCAGACTGACAGTTCTCATTTCAGCATAACCTGTTGCCTTCTCCACTTCAACTAGCTCTTTGCCCACCTTATATTTTTATATTAAGCCCTCATATTTTCCCTCTCAATTACTAATACCCCAATAAACACAGCAGATGCCAGCTCTTGAGCTCGGCTTTAGAGATCTTTGCATTCAGGAACCCACTTGAATTTGTAGATGCAGATTTTCTATGATGGATGTCAAATTACTTATGGTTAGAGCCTGTGTGGATACTAAAATTGTATCTGCATCCAATCTGCAAACATGGTCCGCAGATATCCACAGATTTGTAGGGCTCTACTTATGGTCTCAGTTCATCACATCTCATTCTAGCTTCCATATGCTAGAGGTCTTGTCTGGCTGTAGTCTGCCTGGCACTGAAGTAGGACAGACTTTTTAATCTGTCATTAGATTAAAACACTTGCTCAGGCTTCATCCCATGAGGCTTCCTTCACACAAAGGTAAAAATAGCCATTCCATTTCCTACTGGTGAGTCTATGAGAAACAGCCTTTGGGATCTTGAACTCACCTGTCTGATACAAGGCTTTGAGAGAAGCAACATCAGACAGGTCTTCAGCTCTTGCCTGACACAGCCAGCGATTGTAACTAAAAAAGTCAAACACACACATTGGGTCAGAGCGGTCTGTCTCTTTCATCTGTGTTAGAAAGCATGAAGATCAGCCTGGAAAAATCAGAGGAGCTGGATCTGCTACACTTAGTGTTATAGAACGGTCAACATTGCAATCTTTTGAGTAAGGAAGCTGCTTCCAAAGTGCTTCAAAGGGGAGTGTTTGAAAATAAAGGAACATTGACTGTTGTCTAGTTATGCTGTTGGTTACTTTGCTCAAAATTCTCTTTCCTTCAACTTCAAAAGCATAGGAGGAAAAAGAGTTTATTAGGTGCCCAGGATTCAAAAGGGCATGAGTTGTGAAACAGGTGTGCCTGTTTTAGAAAGACAGACTAGGCTCAGTTACTGAAAGCTATGATGGAACTGTGCCATCTAGTGGTAAACAGGCAGTACAACTGTTCCAATGTGTCTAGGTCAGAGGTCCCCAAAGTGTGGGGCGTCCCCACTGCAGCCTGGCTTTTGCTCCGCTTCGGCCCCTGGCCTCGGCTACTCCAGGGATCTAGAAGGAAACTAGGTCTTGTCCATGCTTTCCTGCTAACAGATTGCAAGTTTGTGTGACATGGAAAGAGGTCATTAAGGATCTTTCCCAGAGTCACAGGCCTAGCTAAGACATGCATATAGAGAAACAGGCAACGTGTTCTCACTTTCTCTGATGCTGTTTCTGCAGTGCTGCCTCCGACAACTGTCCCTGAAGAATGAGGCGCCTCTGCTTATCAACATCTCCCTCCATGCGGGCAAATGCGTGGGAACCAATGAATGAAATATCTGCTTCCAGCCCCTCCTCATCCGAGTTATCTGCAATGGAAGCATGGGTGAGGAAGCTGTAAGGAAGCCAGAGCTCAAACTACATACAAGAGAACCACAATAATGAACATGGGACTGTTTCATCATGACAATGCATCAAAAAGACACAACCAAGTCACAAGGTGACTGTAGCCACGACACAAAAAAAAAAAAAAAAAAAAAAAAAGACACCATGTTATGATGCACAAATTTTCTGTGGTTCCATTTGGTAGGCCAATGACCTCTATTGAACTTAGCATGGAGTTGAGAACAAGGAACTCCTGAAACCTAATCTTAGCTCTGTTAGCGACTTAGTCTGCAACCTTGGGCAAATCAATCCCACTTGCCCCTAGCCTCAACCAGTAGAGTGATAACAATGAACTATTTCCAGTGTCACTCCAATGTTTATAAAGTGCCTTGAAAATACGTTTGCTTTGTATATGCTAAAAGTATTTTCTCCAGCTCTTAAACTAGAGGTCAGCCTAGATAACGGCCCCCTTCTGGGCTTAGCATCTATAAATCTATAAACTGAATGCCATGGCGACTGCAGACATGCATCCTTGGAACAGATAGTTTGGCCTTGTCTACTCTAAGGGACAACAACAAAAAAAAAAACCAAACACAAACACAACACAAAACCAAAAACAAAACAAAAAAACCAAACAGATCTGTAATTCACCACTAAGTGCAGCTCCACCTACGATAATGCTGGAAGCTGTATTATAGACAGGGCTTGGATGTTACCACCAGATCACCTAACCCTGATCAGAGCAGACTTTCATGAGATGGTGGTAAAAATGCCTGAACTTAGGTGATTTCAGGAGAGAGACTGTTGAAGTTTCCAGCCCCTCCTCAACCCCCACCCTATCCATTTTAATTACTAGGAGAGCCGATTTCCCAGTCATCTCAGACTAGTGCAATGCATCAGAATGAGGGGCATTGGCGGGATGGGAGGGAAAATCTGAGCATAGGCCTCTGGCTCATCCTTTTGCTCCTGTGTCAGCAGAGGTGGAGATAGTTGCTTAGACAGTTGGTTAGACCCAGAGACAGCCACATCCTATTCTTTGGACAGAAAAAGTGTGATGTTGAGAGGGGAAGAGGAATTCCCAGGACTTGGAGGACTCTGAAAGAGTGGGACGGAAAGGAACAAACAATTTTTTTTCTCAAAAGGTACGTACTTAGAGCAGACTTCCCACTCTTAGGCCCATGTTTCCAGAATATGACTCGAGGGAACTTTCAGAGGGAGAGAAGCTAACTATTTCCCTGCCCCAGCAGCTGGTGGTGCATGACTGACTCTGATGAGCAGTAATGACCAGTACTTGCCTCTAGTCAGAGACTTGAGGGAAAAAGTGACAGAAGAAAAAGACAGTTCCTTTATCTGGGTCACTAAAGCAGTTTCTTGCTGCTCATTCAGGAGCCACATCAAAAAGGACAGAGAACCTGGGGTGAGATGCAGAGAGCGGTCATGGCTCGGAGTGATCAGACTGAGTGAGAACATCTGATAGACTGTCCACGACCATCTGCAGCAGGAATGGGAGTCAACTCTACCTCATTACCCACCATTCAATGTCTCATCCCCATCAGGCTGTCTTGTTGCTAACTCAAACTCTATTTGTGTCCCTGACTTTTCTTTACCATTGTCAAACTTCACAAGCCTTCCACCCATCATCATCTCCACCTCCTCCTCTCTCACGTCTGACATCCAGGCTGCTGTCCTTTCCAATCCCTCCTTATGAAGAGCTTCCTCCACTGAGCCTCTACCAACTTTGTTTCACAATGCTCATTTCCTCACGGACAGGCTCCTCATTGTCTTCTATCTGCACTGTTTTTTTGTGTGCTGTATCAAACATAATTAAACCAAATTCCTTGGGGCAGGAACCATGTCTTGTGTATGTTTCAGCCAGACAGGACCTGCAAGGATTGTGTTTCTTTTTGCACGAGATTCATCAGGCCCTTCCTACCACACAGAAAAGGGTGGAAAGCTGTCTCTCCATCACATCCTCCAACCACCTCCCACATACAAAGGGAGAAAGCAGAAGTTACTGCTGTAGAATCCAGGCAGCTGCCTGAGCAGGACAGGCAGGGTAAAATCTCATTCTGAAGATTCTCTCCATTGGGTACAATACAGCTAAAATATGGGATTCATAATTCTCTGTCCGTGCTCCCTGGTTTTCCTTGGCTTTTGTGCCAATATTTCAAGGTTGAATTATAACTCACCATCTGGAGCACCTGGTTTTTCACTGATCCTGATCTGTCGCTCTGGTACTACTGGCTCCCCTTCTGAATTGCCAATATCTGCAGGAAGGCACGGTAAGGAATGACATTCTTCTTCCAATGACCTTGGAAAATACAGAGGCAGCAGCTTCTGGTAAGTGGCCTACAAATGACAGAAAGTTTGAGAAGGCCTTGCAGGCATCCCCATTCTTCAGAGACAGCTAGAAACTACTTTTCTATACAGCCACAGAAAAACCTGTAACTCTGTAAAGGGGGCAGGAGGATAATGGATCGCTCTCCTAGGTACTTTCAAGTCAGTTGCATTACTCTTCCTTTCTTCCACTGAGCTTTTGCCAAAAACAAGAGGATAAAAGAAGTCAGCCTCAGCTTTACAGGGGTTTTAAATATATTTTAAATGTCTATTAATCGCAGTTAACTTATCTGATTAACTCAAAAAATTGTGATTAATCACACTGTTAAACAATAGAATACCAACTGAAATTTATGAAATATTTTGGATATTTTTTACATTTTAATAGATATTGTATTCTGTGTTGTAAGTGAAATCAAAGTATAGATTTTCATTACAAATATCTGCACTGCAAAAATGATAAACAAAAGAAATAGTATTTTTCAATTCACCTCATACAAGTATTGTAGTGCAATCTCTTTGTCGTGAAAGTACAACTTACAAATGTAGATTGTTTTGTTACATAATTGCACTCAAAAACAAAACAAAGTCCACTCAATCCTCCTCCTTGTTCAGCCAATCGCTAAACACAAACAAGTTTGTTTATATTTACAAGAGCTAATGCTGTCCTCTTCTTATTTACAATGTCACCTGCAAGTGAGAAGAGACATTTGCATGGCACTTTTGTAGCCGGCATTGCAAGGTATTTACATGCTAGATATGCTAAACATGCATATGCCCCTTCATGCTTCGGCCACCATTCCAGAGGACGTTTCCATGCTGATGACGCTTGTTAAAAAAATAATGCGTTAATTAAATTTGTGACTGAACTCCTTGGGGGAGAACTGTATGTCCCCTGCTGTTTTACCCGCATTCTGCCATATTTTCCTTGTAATCAGGGCTTTGGAGCGAAGCCAGGAGCTGGAGCGCGGAGCAGTGGAGCTGCAGGTTTTTGCCTGGAGCTGGAGCGGAGCCGGAGCACAGAAAATATTGACTGCTCCATTTTTTTTTTCATTCTCAATCCAAAATGAATGATATTTAGCAAGGAAGTCCTAAAGGTGCCAAAAAGTTTCAGATTGTATAACAATTGATATTGACATCTACTTTACCACTTTACGTAATATGTCAGTTATTCTCACTTCGGCCAAAATCAAGATTTAATGTACAGATACAAAATTACGAAGTTTTTTGGAGATATGTTTTATTAAAGAATCAGATAATTATCAGACATCCGGCAACACTGTAGACTGCTCCCATCCTTGTGCCAAGGTTAGGCGAGTACGTACTTGCGTAGATTAGACAGACAGTTAGATTAGTATGTGTTGATAAAAAGAAAAGGAGTACTTGTGGCAACTTAGAGACTAACAAATTTATTTGAGCATAAGCTTTTGTGAGCTACAGCTCACTTCATCAGATGCATGTGTTGATACTTCTTTCGTAAGGGTTGATCAATGAGATGCGCTGAGTGCTGCGATTACGGAAAAGTGTGACGCAACATTTAAGAAATCACAAACTGGTATATTGCAAAAAAAAAATAATGTTTTTGTTTCTGGATATATTAAGATATCGCAAGAGATATTAACCACTTAAGCTTATTTCTCACACGGGCTCCCGTTACTCGTACATTTGTTCATTTGTACATGCTCCCGTATCACTCTGGCGGACTTATTTTATATGTCATCTGTTCAACGGTCTTTTGGTAGTGTTGTTTGTAATTTTAAATTTACTGAAAAAGTCACGTGCAACAGGCATATAAATATACAGTAAACATTTTTGCATAAATTAGGAATGATTTTTGGGATATATCCAGAGTGATTGGAAAATGTCCAACACAACTTTGGGGGTGAATCCTTAGGTCATTTTAAGAAAAAAACGTTTCTGTGAACACATGTCCTAAAATTCTTCCTAAGGGAGCGACAGTCCCTTCAAGGAAGTGATGAAAAGTTAATTTCTGATTAATATCTCAAAAACACTTTAATATTAAAGTAATTAAATTGTCTGTGTCTTAGCTTTAGTATGTGCTACCGTATTACATTATCCAAAATTATTTAAACCATAGGTTTCAGAGTAGCAGCCGTGTTAGTCTGTATTCGCAAAAAGAAAAGGAGTACTTGTGGCACCTTAGAGACTAACCAATTTATTTGAGCATAAGCTTTTGTGAGCTACAGCTCACTTCATCGGATGCATTCAGTGGAATTTCCACTGAATGCATCCGATGAAGTGAGCTGTAGCTCACAAAAGCTTATGCTCAAATAAATTGGTTAGTCTCTAAGGTGCCACAAGTACTCTTTTTCTATTTAAACTACAGGCATCCCGAATGGGCGGTTGGTCATTTTTATTTCATATTTCAAGAAAGGCTTGTCGTCGACTGCCCTGGCTACGAGCGGTAATATTATGTTACATAATGAGTTAATAATTTTTGGTTATTATTTATTATTACACTTAAAATTTATGGTTCCAAAGTTGAAAAATAAGTAAAATTGTTTGTATCATTCTAAGCACCTAAGCAGATTAAAATTTTTAAACAGTTTTCTCGGAAATGGGTAATTATACAAAATAAATTAAGAATACCATTTTAATGAATGTTTTAGCATTAAATCATATTCCAGGGTTGCATCTGTTAAATAGTCAAAGATTTAAAAAATATTAAATAAAATTGGCCCAGTCCCCGCCCAGTTCACGACGCCTGTAGTTTAAATAATTTTATTTGAATGATGTTGTATGATAGAACGTTGGAAATAAACTTTAACGGGAAAGCGGATTCAAATTGCAAGCACGAGAGCAAAATCTTTGGAAATATGTTTTTCCTTCATCAGGCTGGAAACATTATACAAGGTAGAACCTGTTATTTGCTCTATCTTGTATAATCTATTCAGGCTGATGAAGCAAAAACATATTTCCGAAAATTTGCTCTCTTTACTAAAAGGACTGTGTTTGCAATTTGAATCCGCTTTCCCGTTAAAAGAAAAGGAGGACTTGTGGCACCTTAGAGACTAACAAATTTATTTGAGCATAAGCTTTCGTGAGCTATGATGAAGTGAGCTGTAGCTCACGAAAGCTTATGCTCAGATAAATTTGTTAGTCTCTAAGGTGCCACAAGTCCTCTTTTTGTTTTTGCGGATTCAGACTAACACGGCTGCTACTCTGAAATCTGTTTCCCGTTAAAGTTTATTTCCAACCTTGTAACGTGTAGCCCGTTACTTCCCAACAATTAATGTTGTAGAACAGCAATAGCACGTACTAATGCTACGGCACATACCAAATTTCATTGCTATATCTATATTAAAGCATTTTTGAGGTATTAATTAAAAACTTGGAAAATATTTCGAATATTTTTACTGCAAAATGTCATAAGAAAAACTAACCTGCAATTTATAAATAAAAATTTATATTCATTATGTATATTAAAAATACTTCTTAACTTCATTAAAACTGCAAGAAACATGTTAAAATATTAAAATATACTTTAATAATAATTTTGTGAAAAAAGAAAATGTGATCATTTTTGTCCAGAAAATCCAAATAAATTCAAAGTACCTTAAGTGGTTAAGATATCACATTATTAAAAAAAGTGTAATGCTTTTGTTCATTGCTTTCCAAAGATCATAACAAGAAATGTTTGGATGCAGTAGCAGCACAAGAAGATTTGGCCATGGCTTCAACAACAAAAAATAAATCAAATCTGCCCTCCATGATTGATAGCCGATATACAGAAAAGGATCAACATGATGTCTTTACTTTTGAATTTGAAAAGCCCAAATTTGGGCTTTTGGGAAAAGCAAAGAAGAAATTGGCAATGTGCAAGGTGGAAAAAGAAGCGAATGGCGAGATCAAACCATGTAGCTTCAAGACAAACGAAGCAAGTGCCGTGAAAAGTTTCAACCTTTGGCGGCATGTAAAATGTAACCATCCTAAAAACTATGCGGCTACACTCTTCAGTTGGCAATCTGGGATGGACTGAACAAAGAACATGTGAAGAAATTACTGGCAAAAATTCGACAAGTCATTGTCAAACTACGAACCCCAAGTATTTGAAGTGTTCTGCTCGATCTACATGGGGTAACTCAATCATTGGATACTGTGACTCGCTGGGATTCAACATTTGCCATGATTGATTGGCTTCTCGTTTTTCAATCTTACTGTTAACAAGTGGTTGCTGCTGGAACAAGAGAATTCAAATTAACAAAAGCTGAATGGGACGAAGTGAAGAACCTGTGAGACCTCTTGGCAAAGCCAAACCAAACAACTGTGAATCTTCAAGCTGTCGATGTAACCCTGGGAGTTTTAATGAAGGAATGGCAAAAACTGTCAAAATTCTTGCAAGAAAATGGTGGACAAATTGCAGAAGGAATTCTATCCTCCATGCAGAAACGTGAAGAGAAGCTCTTTGAGTTTATGTTGACCCACGGTATCAGATTCTTCTTACCTCAAGGGAAATACCAAAGGAAAAGGAAGGGCTCCTTGATAGTGCTCGACAACTAAAAACAAAATCGATTGCTACATTTGAACTCGGCGAAAGAGGTTGAAGAAAACGAAACACATCAAAAGGAGTCATCAACAATCGAATTTACGGTTTCGGAAAGTTCACATCCTTCAGAAATAGCAGGGTGTTCTCAAACTTCTGTCTCCACTCTGAACTTGTTTGAGCGTCCATCCCTGAGACATCTTAAACCATCACAGGGAAATGGAGATAATTCAAGCACCAATTCTTCAGAAGAGGATGCCTTTGAAAAGGAATTGGATAAATAACAAATACGCAGGGAATTTCTGCGATTCAAAATTGTAATGAAGCATTATTCGAGAGAAACTTTCAGGAAGATTGTGAGGCAATGGAGTCTATTGGTAGGCTAAAAGTTAAGTGTTTTTGAGACCATTCACAGCTACCCACACCACATTCAGGCTCCCTTTAGAATTGCTTCGAGCATGCCAACAACTCAAGCTAGTGTAGGCAGTGCGGCAGGCTATGAAAGACAACTTGATTGCTGCAATAACTTTTTACAGAATGAATTATGAATGATTCTAGTTTGTATTATTGTGGATGACATTTAAATAGTTTTAAAAGTCTGAATAAAAATAATGTTTTTTCAAAATTACAGTATGCACTTTTTTATTTAGTTAAAAATTAATTTGAGTTGGAGCGCGTAGCGGAGTTGGAGCAGAGCTGGAGAAGTCACTATTGGTGCCGGAGTGGAGCTGGACTGGAGCAATTCAAAATTTGATTGCTCCAAATCCCTGCTTGTAATAGCAGTCTTGGATGATGACCCAGCACATGTTGTTCATTTTAAAAACACTTTCACTGCAGATTTGACAAAATGCAAAGAAGGTACCAATGTGAGATTATTAAAGATAGCTACAGCACTCAACCCAAGGTTTAAGAATCTGAAGTGCCTTCCAAAATCTGGGAGGGATGACGTGTGGAGCATGCTTTCAGAAGTCTTATAAGAGCAACACTCTGAAGTGGAAACTACAAAATTCGAACCACCAAAAAAAAAAAAAAAAAAATCAGCCTTCTGCTGGTGGCATCTGACTCAGATAATTAAAGTGAACATGTATCAGTCCGCACTGCTTTGGATTGTTATTGAGCAGAATCCATCATCAGCATGGATGCATGTCCTCTGGAATGGTGGTTGAAGCATGAATAGACATATGAATCTTTAGCATATATGGCACATACATATCTTGCGACGCCATCTACAACAGTGCCATGAGAATGCCTGTTCTCACTTTCAAGTGGCATTGTAAACACGAAGCAGGCAGCATTATCTCCAGTTCTTATGTCAGGGCAGTCTTGTGCCTGGAGTATATTTCGTTAAAGTTGTATCTAGACTAGCATCTGGAGAAATGGACTTCCCTCCTGTGAGACAATACCATCACTGCAGGTCACCCCTTCAGTATATCTTTTCTGATATTATCAGCGTACACTTTCCCTCTCAATTCATTATTTCTAGTGATACCTTCCTAAAGAAATCTTCCTCCTTCTCTATTTAACTCCCTTCACATACTTCTAGATTGCTATATCTTTATAATCCTCTGATGCTTAGCCAAAGCTTCGTCTTTAGTTTGATTCTTTCCTTTAAGTTATTATTGTTATTTATGTCTGTATTTCCACAGGTGAAAGCAAAACAGAGGAAACAGAAATATAGCGGGGTCTCAGGAGATAAGAAGCTTGGTAAGGAGATAAAATAAGATTCACCTCGGGCAAATCTAAGCCAGCAAACATTAACTTGATTGGAAGATAGGAATCCTGAAACCTTAAGTGTTGAGACTTGTTTGCAGGGGCAATCAAATATTGCCCAATCCCATGCCACATTGGCAATTGACCTAGAGAGGGGGCTGCCTTTAATTTACATCAACTGGGGTAGATTGTAGCCACCCCTTTTCTTGAAATAAAAAAAAAAAGTCTGCAAGGATGACAGATCCTAACAAAGGCTGCTTGGATCAAGCTGAAGCACTGCACATCATGATCTGTCATTTCTGTAGACTACCTCTTTTAAAGAAGAGAGCACTTGCAGGCTATGTTTTGGCCACCCCAGGGCCAAGCAAGGGTAGAGAATGATCTCCGATAGAGAAATATGAGGGAAGGGACACACTGTTTTTTCCTTACTGATTAACAATTGAACTTGGAGAAACTCTTTCCATTTAAAAGACCAGATTGTTCTTAAGATAGTACAAGATATATTCCAGATCCCAGTGCCAAGAACACTGACTGGATTCGCTGTGTTATGCGCATATTAGTAGGAGGCGCTCTACACAGATACAGTGAGAAGACATGGAAGAATGTCAATACCCAAACTGCCAAAGGCTTTTTGTCTTGAAAACAGAACAATGGTTAGCTAATTTCCCCAAGAGTCAGGGTCAGAGTGAAGCTGGGATCAAAGACTAGAGATCAGAAATGTCTGAAACATCAGTTTTCTAGGTGTTTGTGGGAGGATCTGTGGGGATGCTAATATGGGGAGCGGGGAGGATTTTTAGCAGGAGGGAAATAAGGTGGGAATTTTGAATGTAGTGACTTGCTCTGCCTTCTTACATCTGAAAACCATCTTGCATAAGTATCCCATCTAACCCAAGTCCCTCATGCCGGTGCCCAAGTGGTGGGTCGGGAACTTGTGACAAGTGGGGTGGCTTGAAGTGCATCTGCAGCTAGCAATGAGAATGTGAGCAGGAAGGAACTGGGAAAGGTGCTTCTGGAGAAACACCTGGGAGGAGGCTGAAAGGGGATGCAGAGGAACTAACAGTCATGATGAGAGAGAGATATAAAAACTTGAGGATGGGGAAACTGGTCTTCAGCTTCACAGTACAACATACGGAACAGGAGTCTACAATGCCCTAAGAATTAGAGCATACCTAAGAACTTTGGCAGGATGAACAATTGTGAGAAATACCTGTTCAAGCTCAGAGACTGCAAACACCACCTTCTCCAGGGTTTCCCCATGAATCTCCAGGAACCTTCTGACTGTTCCTGTAAGCAAGAGAATTAAATACATTGAGCAAACAGGGAGACAGATTTACAGTCTCAGTTACGATCAGGGACACTCACTAGCTATAGGCAAATACGAAAGATGCTCCCCTCCTTCTGCAAGTGCAGGAAGGCCCCCACCCCACAGACAGGAACCTAATGGGTAGCTAAGAGCACTACACACAGTGGAGTGGGCACACACAAAAAGACAGCTTGCTAGATATTAAGAATATCCATAGTGATAGAATCATAGAGATCATAGAAAGGTAGGGTGGGGAAGGATCTCGCAAAGTCATCAAGTCCAGCCCCTCATGCCGAGGCAGGACCACGTAAACCTAGACCATTCTGGACAGTTTTGTCCAAACTGTTTTTAAAAACCTCCAGTGATGGGCATTCCACCACATCCCTTGGAAGCCTATTCCAGAGCTGAACTATCCTTATAGTTAGAAAGATTTTCCTAATACTTAACATAAATCTCCCTTGCTGCAGATTAAGACTATGTCTCCACTAGCAACTGAATGACACAACTTTTGTCTTTCAGAGGTGTTAAATCCGTCCCCCACCCCCCGAAAGACAAAAGTTTTGCCAATGACAAGTGCTGGTGTGAACAGCACTTTGTTGCCAGGAGCACTCTCCCGCGGACAAAGCTAACGCCGCTCATTGGGGATGGAAGTTTTGTCCGCAGGAGAGCCGACAAACAGCGGCTACGCTGCACGACTTTTAGCGACACAGCTAAAAGTTGAATAGTGTAGACATAGCCTAAGACTATTCCTTTTTGTCCTACCGTCAGTGGACATGGAGAGCAGCTGATCACAGTTTCTTTATAACAGCCTGAACATATCCGAAGACTCTTATCAGGATCCCCCTCAGTATTTTCTTCTCAAAACTAAACATGCCCAGTTTTTTAACCTTTCCTCATAGGTCAGGTTTTCTAATCCTTTTATCATTTTTGTTGTTCTCTTCGGGACTGTCTCCAGCTTGTCCACATCTTCCCTGAAGCATGGTGTCCAGAGGTGAATACAGCACTCCAGCTGAGGCCTCACCAGGGCTGAGTAGAGTGGGACAATAACCTCCTGTGTCTTACATACGACACTCCTTTAATACACACCAGAATTATATTAGCCTACACACTGTTGACACGGTCATTTCTTCCCTCATGGGATCTCTCAAAAGCTGTCCTTTTCTCTCAGCCCACTTTGTCCATGCAGTGACTGCAGTAGCTCAGACAAAAACGTCTGGCTTCTCACCTCCTTCCTTCAAACAATCCACTGAAAGTCTTCTACTACAACCCTCTGACCATGTCACACTCATATTCAAATCCCGTCACTGGTACAGTGTTCATCTAAATTCATGCTTCTGGAATTTACCTTCAAGGTTCTGCACATATTTTGCTCCTGCTTAAAATTCTGCTCCCAGTTTTCTCTACTCCCTCTCCCACATCCTTTGTTCTGGTTAAGCCTCCCTCCTCTCCACATCTTTTGGATAGTATCCTTGTTCCATTCATCTTTGGATCTTCCGTTCTGCCACTCTTGCTGGGAACAATCTCCTCTCTAAATGCTGAATGACCACACTCTCTCCAACCAAATCCTTCTCTACACACATCTGTAAGACCCATCAACGTTAATCAAGGTGCAAAAAAGCCAACATCTTATCATTTTGATAACAGACCCTCACCTGATGACAACTGTATTTTCTCTCATTTAGAATGCAAGTCTCTTGGGGCTGGGAGCTTGTTACTTTCTAGGTATTGGACAGTGCACAATGGGGCACTCAACACAGGGCAAAAGATCTTCTCTCCATGGAAGCTTCCCTTTACAATAAACTGGAAATGGGTATGAGAAACAAAAACATTGGCTCTAATAGTAGGACAACAATCACATGGTGTCAGCAACTGAACCTGTGGGCACATTGCCTGTAAACTGTAGAGGAGCCTGGCAAATTTCCTGAGAAAAGGAGTGGCAGAGATGTGAAACATGTTCCCAGAGACCCACAAGGCCAACTCAATCCATTCCCTTATGAGCCAAGCTCCATTCTCAGAACTACTTCCAGAAAAGGTTACTAACATATGTTGAGTGAAAGTCCCAGAACAAGTCAACATGCACTGCAAGTTTCCAGGAAAGCCAGGCACCTCAAGCAACCCCAAACTGCACACAAGCTAATCTTTAGTAGTAGAGGCTGCTCCAAAGCCGATTCATCAGCACAAAGCCTCACAAACAAACCAAGACACCACCACAAAGGGCAATGAATTTAGAAATAAGAAATCCCAAGGATTTTCTGATGCACTGGAGAAGAGAGACTTATGGTGACATTTGTCACTCACTCTGAGGGGCCTTTCATTGTAGCATCTAATTGTGCACCCCTGCTGGCCTGCTGCAGATGTAAAGTGCTGCCAATACCTTGGAGGAAACTTCAAAAAGCATTTTAAATTAGAAGTGATTCTCTTGTGATTTGCAGATTTTATAGTACAGTAACACCTCACGTAAAGTCGTCCCGATTAAGTCGTTGTTAAGTTGCTGATCAATTAGGAAACATGCTCATTTAAAGTTGCGCAATGCTCCCTTATAAGGTTCTTTGGCAGCCGCCTGCTTTGTCCACTGCTTGCAGAAAGAGCAGCCCGTTGCAGCGAGCTGGTGGGGGCTTGGAACCAGGGTGGACCAGCAGACCGCCCCCCGCACCCCCCCGCATCAGCTCTCCGCTTCCCTAAGTTCCCTGTGCGGCAGCCGCCCAGCAGGCTATCAATATTGCAGGCAGTTCAGCTGTCCCTCCCCGCACTGCCTTGGAGCTGCTCCCGGGAGCCTCCTGCTTGCTGGGGGGGAGGGGGAGAAAGGAGAGAAGGGGGCTAATGTCAGGGTGTCCCCCTCCCCCCCCCACATACCCCATCTCCATGGAGGGACACACAACAGGGCTCCGGATGGAGGGAGCTTCCTAGCAGCAGCTGCTATCTCAACTTGCTGATCTACTTAAGATAGTTTACCTAAGAGTGGGGTCACCATACTTAAAGGGGCACAAGGGTGTGTGTCTCTGTCTGCCATGCTGTCTCCCCTCCCTCCATTTGTGCTGCCTTGTAGAGTGTGAGGCTACATTAACAACAATGGGTTAACCCCTGAGGGCTCAGCCAAGTGCTAGGTCATCATTTAGAGTACGGCATTCTCTGGGAAATGGCCCACCCTCTGACTTCACCACCTCAACCAAGCTTCACAATCCTCATCGCTGTGTACAGTATTAAATTGTTTAAAACTTATAGAGTGTGTGTGTGTGTGTGTGTGTGTGTGTAGTCTTGTGTGGTGAAAAAAATTTCCCTGGAACCTGACCTGCCCCTATTTACATTAATTCTTATGGGGAAATTGGATTTGCTTAACATCGTTCCACTTATAGTCACATTTTTCAGGAACATAACTACAACGTTAAGTGAGGAGTTACTGTATTTCCTCTCTCCTGCTTTCTTGGGCTATCCCAAGATGTGGTCAAGTTCCCATCAACACTAACAGGGGAAAACTGTTTTGTAACCAGTTTCCCAGATTGGGATGTCCTCGTGATGCAGATGGGGCTCTTAGGCTGTGATCTTGTCAGCTCTCATCTGTTAGTCATTTGGACAGGAAGAAACTAAAGGCCAGCACTTCACAGAACATTATTGGATTGTATGGATGTGCAGAGACTGAGAGCAGCAAGGAAGGGGTGTTACCAGTTTAGAGAACAAAATCCAAACACATTAAATCAGTGAAGGACTTTTCAAGCAATAGCAGCAGTTTGGAGAAAAAGAGGATGCATTTCCAAACATTTCCTGCAGTGAAATTTTCATGTAAATGGGTTAAACCACAGCAAAATCTCACAGGGGCCAATACTGCTGTGGTTGAACAGCACTATCAGTCATAAGGCCACCTTCCCTTCGTAAGTCTCTCCCAGCTCCCCTTTTCACCTTGAAGGCTCTTCTCCATTCACAAGCCATCTGTTGGGTACATACAGCTAAAACAGGAAGATTTTCAAACACTGGGCGTTTCTACCTCTGGTAGAAATGCAGGCTCCTGGCAAAACAATGCTGACTGAAACACCTAGGCATTTGCTAGGTCTACCCCTGAATATACATCTCTACTGACTTTGACCCAATGGAAGGCCCCACTACTGCCTCAACATCCTGCTGCTTAACACCCCAACCCCAAATGCTCCAACACCGTGCTGTTATTTAAGTCTAATGTGCACAACATGGGCTCCAGCTGGTGTAGTGTTAGGATGCAACAAACTTCCAAGACCTACTTACGCAGTGCTATGTGGGTTGCATCCTCCAAAGGGTAGCCTCTTTTCACAGAGTTTATGACACAGAATCCCACTGAGGACATTGCCTGCTCCCTGAAGTCAAGAGGAGAAAAGAAACCCAGGTATGAAAACAGAACCTCATATGGGAGTGAGCTATTGGCAGGAGGTATGGGGGAGGCAAGAAGCAGCTCAGTGGGCAGGATAAGCACTAGCACATCCCTCCTCTCTACTTGAAGAACCTCTTTTGGTTTGCAGCAGAGGGATTCCCAGCTTATGAGCCACAGGAGTTCACTAGGTGGAGAAGGCAGAGAAACACTACTAGCCCCCAACTTTCTCCAGATTTGTTCTTGAACATCCCTTCCCACTTGGACCACTTCCTCATATCTCAAACCAAGCTCCGATAAGCCGCTCCCCCACCCAGTCCACTGGAAAACTGCTGTCTGCAGGTGGGCTCTTCCAGGAACAGAAGAGGAGACGCAGGGAATGGGTTCTTTGGAGTGCTGGCAGGCTGGCACTAGTTTTTCCATGTCTTATCCACTTAACTAGTTTCCTGTTTGCCAAAAAAGATTTCCACTGCTGCAAATCAGAGGAAACAAGAGAGGGCTGGTGAAAACAGAGGGAAGGAAACCACGAGAGCATTCCCTCTTTCCTGTGGGGCCTGTTAGGTCTGCTGGAGGCTAGAATCCATGACAAATCTTAGGAAGCTTCTTGGGTCCTCCACACTGCCCTCTTGGTGGAATAATAATTGTTATTTTTGCACTGACAAGTGCTCTTAGTGATCAACTACATTGCCAGCCCTTTCCCTGTAGCAAGTGCAAGCTCAAAGACCTTTTTTTAAGAAGTGAAAAGTGCAGGTCTCCAACAACTGTTTAATATGCTATACCAAGATCAAAGCTGGTGACTGCCAACTTTACAAAGTCCAAAGTTAGTTACTTTCGAAAGGTGACTGCCACCTAACGCCATCCAGCAAACTAAGTTTTGTTGTTTTCCTGCTTTGCTACTTAATACCAAAATCCATCCCTCACCCCAGTAATAGAAAAATTAAGTCTTTCATGAACTCTATTTTCAGGGTGTCATAATTCAGAAACCTCTTGTCCAAATCACTTCAAAGTTTGCAGGAAAATTCTCCTCAGGCCCAGACCTAGCTACCAGTTTTAAGGCACATAAAACTATAGATTTGAGAAGATTGGGGGATTCTGGAAAAAAGTGGCCTTATTATAGAAACTCAGGTGTAAACTTGACTATGAAGCAACTAACATTGCACTGTAACAAACAGATCTTCAAATATCTAGAAAAGTTGTTTTCCCCCTCTCCCGAGAAACCACAAAGCTCCATTGATAAAAAAGGTAAAATCCATAAACTAATCATTTGTGGATTTAGAAACACCCTGATTCACAGCGTGAAGATTTTATAGGATTTTCTGCAAGGTATAAGTAACACCATAAAAAGGAAGTGCTTCTTCACATTGTAATCACTTATCACTACAGGAGGCTTAGAGGCACATATTGGACTGAATTATATAATTGGTAATGCCATCATGCATAGCATACTAGCTAAGACAGGCATACTTGCATCTCAGACTTTAGGGGATCAGCTGTTCACCACAGGAGTCAGAATGGATCTTCCCGTCTCCAAACATAGAGCATTATGTTCCTGGCCTTCTGCACTGTTTGGAAGGTGGAGTGGGAAGAGAAATCTGCCTTTCCCCTGGGCAATCAGTATCATCTTGGCCAGGCTGTGATATACTGCCTGATTATCTGATACAACAAAGTCAATTATGCTTGCGTATTCTCCCTTCAAAATGACAAGGGAGCAGAGTGGTCCCAGACTCTGTCCAGGTCTGAGATTGTTGATGGGCGTTCATACCCACCTGGACTCTGCCCACATCAGGTAACCCAGAAGCAGCATGTATTATGAGTAACAGAGCCTGGCCCAAATTGCCATGTGCTTACTTTGCAAGCTGTAGGACATTGCGGTAGCAGCTATACAGGGAGCTCTCAGCTGCTGTGCGATATCTGCTCTTGTATTTGGGTCCCACGGTGTGAATAATGAATCGTGCAGCCAGGTTAAATCCTTTAGTCAGTTTTGCCTCCCCCGTCCGGCATCCTAAAGAAACATACAAAGGATAAGACACCTAAGTCTTGGTAGGGCAGAGAGTAAAGCACCTCACTTCTTCATCCCCACACCAAACCCCACCCTGCAGCAACTCACTTCCACCTCATTAGTTCCTGCACCACAAGATGGCAAGCTGCTACAGCAGCACTCAGCCAGCCCGGGGACATGCGGTGAGCTGTACCATTTCCAGTCTGCTTCTCAGAAGCTGAGCATTCATGGAGTAGAACAGAAGCACCAAGTCACTGGAGAGGCTGTGTACTTGACTGCAGCTCCCCACACTCCCCCTCCCCCACCACACAAAAGCAGTATACTAACTTGGCAAGACAGTTGCAGTAGAAACGTGTTATGTTAGAAACGTGTTATGCAGACAAACACAAACTCGGCTCTTCTGAAAGGCTTTGGGAGACTATGCTGTTTGATTAAATTTCTTGGTATAGGAGATGGACATGGTCCTTTTAATCAGCCAACTTGTGGTTGGCAGAGCTTTTAGAGATGGAGAAGCCATAACGCCATGTTTCTCCACATCACATGGAGCACAGTTGTGCCTTGTGGTTTGTTCCACAAGATTTTCATCTGCCCAGTTTTTAATGTCTCCAGGGATGCCTAACAGATCTCACTGTCCAGAAAGATTTCTGGGTATTCTGTCTACATTTTCTATTGTTCTATTTCATTCCTTTTCTCTTGGACAACTTGTCTCCAACAGACAGCGAAGTGTTTCCTCACATACATGTAGCCTTCTGGGAACCATTTTCCCCCCCTCACATACTGGTAGCCTTCTGGGGATCATTAATAAGCATCTATTTCACAACCAGTAGTACACTATGCACTTTGCAGAGAGTGATCTGGGCTCAAATCTATTCCAGTGGACCAAACTTCTTGCATCTTTAGGGCAAGATAGAAAAGCGAATGTACTAGCCAGGAGCTACAAGATGTTTTTTCCTCAAGTCTCCCCTTAAGAGAGAGAAATACTCTCAGAATCCACCTGCACAAGACTGACTTAAACTATTCCAGCCCCACCTAAGGAGAGGAATTTACTCACATTGGTGATAGAGTTATATTAGATATGCATCTTATGATTTTTTAAAACAAACTTTGTATTGTGGATAATCTAAGCACTATACCCAGATGCACACACTGTTTTGTTTAATAAAAAAAAATAAAAAATTTATGTAGTACACAGGTTAACATTAGCTTTAATATAATTTTTAAATCTGTTTTGTGCAACTCTAAGAGTATTTCCTGTGTTCTGCACCACAGAACTGAGAAGGAGCATTTGTTCTGTCTCAACAACAGTCCCAGCCCACTCCCAGCTGCTCCTTCCCTCACCCCTTGTTGAGTGCTGAAAACGCTGAGTAGGGTGATTGCTGCTCCTCCTGGCTTTCAATACAACACACCTTCTGTGGTTTTCTAGATGGAAACCAGTAGCAGAATAGGGAGGTCTACTCTACTACTTCCCTACTCCAAGTTAGAGAACGGAACAACTTCAAGAGGAGAGATTAAGGGAGATCCACATCAGAATATCCATATCCCAGAGTTTAGAACACTCTGCTGAGAGGCAGCAGATTCTGACCGAAATTCTCTTCTTATCAGACAGAGGGGAGACTTGAACCATGGTCTCCCACCCTCTGGGTGAGTACCCTAACCACTGGGCTGAAGGTTATAAGGGAGTTCTTCCTCCTGCCCGTTTTGTGTGGCGCTACGAGGCCTCTGACTATGCCAACTTGATTGGGCCCCACAACTTGTGTTATGTGGAGGAGCACCTATCTTCCCGTGATTCATGTATTGCATGGGGTCTTAGGCAACAGAGAGGCACCCAAATGCCTAGAATGAGGCAGCAGTCTGCATGCCCAGAGAAAGAAACATGTGCCTAGAGAATTTTTACTGCAATAATTTAGGCACTGAGGAAGTTTAGGCACCTACAGGGTTAGGTGGCAGCCAAGTGGGAGTTTGGTGGATCTCAATGTTGCCTAAAAACAGGACTTAGGCACTTAAGTACCTTTGTGAATCCCACCAGAAGTCTCTATTTTTCCCCTCATTGTTCTAGACCAGGGGTTCTCAAACATTTTAATGGGGTCGCCATGGCTGGTGTTAGACTTACTGGGGCCTAGGCTGAAGCCAAAGCCCGAGTCCCATCAACCAGGGCCGAAGCCCCTGGGCTTCAGCTTTTCCCCTTCCCCCTGGAGCAGCGGGGCTCGGGTGGGCTTGGGATTCGGTTCCCCATCCTGGGATCATGTAGTAAGTTTTCTTGTCAGAAGGGGGGGGGCACGGTGCAATGAAGTTTGCGAACCACTGTTTTAGACCCATCCAGGATGTGAGCAGTTTGATGGGGTGAGCAGAAGCAGCCCAGGGAAGAGATATTTTTCCCCAAACATTTTTCCTGTGCAAAACTTTTGAAGCAAGCATCTTTATTTAAGGACAAAAACATACAAAGAAATCATAAAACAATAAAAAGATCTAAACGTGTACTTAAGCTTAACAGCAGGACCCCATCAGCCCTCATGGGAGTCCCTGATGGGTTCCAAAGCCTTTCAAATCCTTCTCCAAGGCTTGGCTTCTTTTGGTTATCAAATCACGCCAGTTTGTAGCTCAAGAAGTTCCCTTTCAGTCAGTTCATACTTGGTCTTTCTACCAAAAAATGCTCTTTGTTCCCAAGCCTCCTGAAACAGGTAAAACCACTTACTGTCCCTCTTTCCACCTTGGGTAAGACTTCAAAGGCTGGGTATCTGCATAGCCAACCTTGGGATTTTGCATATTAATCACCTCTTAGTGATTCTAGATTCTACAGGGAATCCACTTAGCAAGCCAGAAACACAAATACATATAATGCTTATTGATACAAAGGTCTGAACATTTTGTGGCCCATCACAAAATAATAGTCTGAAGATTTTCATGATTTCAAGGGCTGGCTCAAATAAACAGATAAGAATACGAACGTTAAACATGGTAGTCTCAAGACATGCCTGTGTTTGTCATATCTGTCACAAGTATTACCCCTACTTTACAAATCAGGAGCAAGGCACAGTGGCGAAGTGAGTTGCCCAAGGTAACAGTAACCAGGTGGCAAAATCAGTAACAGAGCCAAGATCTCAGTCATTGGTCTGACTTTTTACCCAGTCATTGGTCTAGACATTAGACGATCCTCTCCCAAACTTTAGATGGAAGACTCAAATTTTTCCATCTAAAGAATGTTATGGAGAGAAACAGAGCCTTCTAATAGAGCCTTACAGCATTTGGAAGACTGTTACTGTACTGCCGTCTAAGATGCAGTAGACTAAGATGATAAACTGACAGCAATTCCTCTAGAAATCTGAGCCCCTCCCTGAAGTATTTCTGGGTTAGAGGAAGCTGAACAGACTGTTCCCAGGGACATAGGAGTCAGCTGAGCCATAAAGAAAGCACTTGGTGCCTCCAGGCTTGAGCAGAAGCAGTGTATCACATGGTTTAAGCATGATTCTTTCTCATTCTTTCTCTCAGGGCTTAGAGAAAGTGGATACAAATGGGTGGGAAGAGGATGTGACAGATAGTGAAACATCCTGCAATATCTTTGGGAGATCATACTGTATTTAAGAGAATGAATGGTTTATATATCATTGTGGGCCAGGGACTGCATTCACTCTATGGGGGAAAGCGTTACCACAGCTCCTCCAGGAAGGAAACCAGTAGGGGATGATGAAGGCAAATCACTCAGGTTATAACACCTCCGGAAAGGTACCACTTTCTGAGGTTCATATACCCTGGTTCAAACTGGGACCACCAGAAAAAGAAAGGACTTTTAGGTAAATAGCCCTGAGCTTGATCTGGCTCCTGATCTAAAGACTGACATGAACTTGCAAGAACAGGGAAAACCTCGTTCTGGGGGTTGAAGGACTTACATCTTCCAGTCTAACTTGGTTAGATTGTGCAAGGTGCTCAAATACTAGATAGGTGATACAGAAGTATCCAGATAAAGAAAAGTCCATAATTCAAAGAATATTTCTTTCTAGAAAAGCAAAATTGCCAGCCTTCCAATAGGGCTCTTCTTACAATATTATTAAACTGGCTTATGGAACTATTTTTGAATTAGTACAGGGAAAAATGAAAGAACTGACTAAGAGGTCACTCTGAGGCTCTATTTTATCATGCAGGGCAGCAACACTTTATCCATTACTAGACATTGGTTCCTAAAAGATTAGGTTGCATGGCTGCAGGCTAGCAGCTTGTACAGAACTTACTCAACATGAATTCTTGTTGAGTTTGGATTTCTGTTGGGGTGAACTGCAAGACTCTCCGAGCATCTCCTTAAAAAGGGGCAGTACAGCAAAATTAGTATTCATACAAGTTCAGTCTCTACAGCAAGAACTTTTATAACTGCTCTTTTAGATAACTTCCAACTTCAATCTGCTTCAGTTAACTAAGGGGACGACTGTGTCATAGTCTGAAAGTAAGAGCTCAGCAACTTGAACGGCTTGCTAGAAGCTTCTAGGGGTCTGTATTCTGAATTACAAATGGAGGAATTGTCTACCATAGGGGGAAAGTTTTGGCCAGACCATATTTCACATTAAAACCAGGTCAAGGAAATAAAGGCAAGTGTCTTTTCTGCACCTTCCTTGCCTTCAAACCCACATATTTCTGCTATATGCTACATGGTGGCAGCTGCATTGCTGTAGAGCAGGATTCTCCTTACCTTTGAGTTTCTGGAGTTCATCCCTCAGGTTGGGGCCGGCATGCACGAAGATGCTCTCAGATACCACATTCTTATCTGTGAGAGATTCATTGCTGGTGTTTACTATGGCTGTGCAGTTCAATAATGCTACATTTCCTTTCCTGAGGAAACAAAGCCATTGAGTGCAGGTTAGATACACGAATTTGGCACCATAGAAGAAGTGCTTCTTAACTGCTAAAGGGTTATTCTTGCCTTGCTTCATGATACACTGTACTCCTCTATCTCACCCTGCTCATGAGATATGTTCCATAAACAGAAGCTTAGTTTAGAAGAAATTAAGGTTGGTAAAACACTGCATTCTCACAATGAAATCTTAAACAATGAAAAGTCAAGTTTCAAGGGAATTTCTTAACTGTACCCTAATGCCCACGCACCACATATCCAGACTCAGAATCTTCACAGTGAACTTCACTCTACCTTCAACTAGTATGGAGACAGACTACAGGCAACCCAAAATTCTCCCTCACAGTACAACCTTAATTGCAAATTCATGCTTCCCCAATAAACAACACACTGTTCACTTAAGCAGTGAACTGTAAAGAAGTTCAATATTAAACGGTGAGGGAGATTAATGTATTGTATGTAGCATGTTTGATCATCACGTGGAGGTAGAAGTAAGTTCCTTGCAATGATGTGGAGTCTGTCACTGGAAATGTGCAGTGTAGGCATTAAGATAAAGTTTAGAGGGTCCCAAATTTGACATTTTCTTGCTTTTGAGAATACATAGAGGAGATATTACATGCACCTAATTTTACTTAATATTTTGTTTATGGAATTTCCTGGATTTTTAATATAGCAATGAAGGTCTTATTGTGGTATGATAAGGGAGCAAGGAATCATCCCCGACTTTCCCTACGGCAAATGGGAATATGGAGGGAACAATTATGTTTGAGGTGGGTGAGGGGGAATATTTGTGAGATCTGGGAGGCCTGGTGGGTCTGTCTCTAGTCTCCCTAATGCCAGTATGATATTACCTGTTAGGATATAGATATTCAGGCCTGCCTGTAAAGGCCTATACTCTAAGAATTTAGGTGTATTCTTATCACTTGGCTAGTGATAGAGGTATAAAAGAAAGAATCAAAACCACTGTCTGCCAGTGTAAGGGCCTTCTCTTACTGTGACAGTTTGTGGCCCTGTGCTTAGGCTCAGGCCTTTGGCTAAGCAGCAGAGGCAGCCATAAGCTGGGAAGCGAACGGTCACATCCTCACATTCCAAACTAGTCACATTGAAATAAGGTGCTATTGGGCTGTTAGGCACTATCAGGACAGGATTGTATTCCTATCACCTCCAGAGAAAGGGAAGTGCCTAGAAAATGTAAAAGGAAACTTAGTTTGATAGCATCCTGTCTGGCAAGAACTCACTTATCAATAGCTGGGATGTGAAATCCTCACTTCTGTATTGTTTTGTCATTATAGTTCCCACTTTGCTGTTGTTTGTCTGTATAATCTCTGTCTGGTTCTGTGATTGTTCCTGTCTGCTGTATAATTAATTTTGCTGGGTGTAAACTAATTGAGGTGGTGGGATATAATTGGTTACATAATCATGTTACAATATGTTAGGATTGGTTAGTTAAATTTCAGGAAAATGATTGGTTAAGGTATAGCTAAGCAGAACTCAAGTTTTACTATATAATCTGTAGTCAATGAGGAAGTGACTGGGGGTGGGTGGGGGTGGGCATGTGGGTGTGTGAGATGGGAACAGGGAATGGGGGGGTGGGTGTGGGTGGGCATGTGGGTGTGTGAGATGGGAACAGGGAATGGGGGTAAGAAAATTGGAATCATGTTTGGCTAAAGGGGGAGATGGGAACAGGGAATGGGGGTAAGAAAATTGGAATCATGTTTTGCTAAAGGGGGAAATGGGAACAGGGAATGGGAGTAAGGAAGTTGGAATCATGTTTGGCTAAGGGTAGGAATGGGAACAGGGACACAGGCGTAAGGCTCTGTGGTGTCAGAGCTGGGATGGAGGATACTAAGGAAGGAAACTGGAATCATGCTTGCTGGAAGTTCACCCCAATAAACATCGAATTGTTTGCACCTTTGGACTTCGGGTATTGTTGCTCTCTGTTCATGCGAGAAGGACCAGGGAAGTAAGTGGGTGAAGGAATAAGCCCCCTAACATTACCCCTATTTCTGGAGCCTGTCAAATGCTGCATCTGATCCAGTTGGCCAGCCTTGGCTCCTCAGAGCAGAGGAGCCTCTGTTGAACCTGTAGAGCTCTGATTTTAAAGAAAGCCTTCTAATCACAAACAGGCTATTACTAATACAATGCTGTCTCTTAGTCTTCACACAGTCAACTTAAGTGCATCTATCTGCTGCTGCTCAGAACACTGAAAAGCTACAGCAAAGTGAAAGATGACTAGAATCTGATGAGTTTTCATTGCTACTGTTAAAAAAAACCTGTGGGCAACTGGGAAAATGACAAGAATCTGGTCACATGCACTCTGATACTTCAAGGGAAAGCTCTAAGTAGGGTCAGAGACAGGAATTGAAGGAAGAAACTGAGGCTCAGAGGGGGAAGGATAGAGCAGCAGTGCCCCAACCCACCCATGCTTGCAACAGCTAGGAGGATCTGGGGTGAACAGGCAGGGATCACTTCTTCTGTGCAGCAACCAGAAGAGGTTGGTGAAAGGGCTGATCTTCCAATTTACCAGACACCTGCGATCTGGAGGTTCACATGAAAGAGAGACTTGAGCAAAGCTGAGAAATCCCAACCACACTTCTTAGCAGTTGGTAAAGGGGGATAGCTCTTCACTTTACTGCTGGCCCTGAGGGCTTCCCCCACTTTTCATACTTGTCTTCTACTGATAGGGGTAGTCCTCTGGAAATTAGGTGTTGATAAGCGAGAGTGGGTGGGCGAGGCAGAGGAGACGACATAGATGGGGTAAGTTAGCACAGAGAAACACTGTTGAGATAGACACATTTTGGAAGAAGAATATGGAGACAGAATACAACATAAAGAAAGTGTATGGAGGCAGAGAGATAGAGAAGGAAAAAAAACCTAACAGACACCAAGGACAGTACAGGAAAAGATACCCCATTATTCTATTATATGAATGTAGAGAATACAAAGTGAGGCAAAACCAGGAAGCACAGAACATAAAACAAGTGCCAGAAAAAACAATAAGTTGTTTGTTTTAAAATTGCATGAAATAGAAAGGTGATTATATATATTGTAGGGACATGCCCACGCAAGTAGTACAGAGATGAACCTCATCGGGTCCCTCCACCAGCCTTCATCTAAGACTTTACCTATCCTTTCTCCTCCCAGACTTGACCTATGGCGGTACCTCAAGAGAAAAAAGGAGAAAAAATCCACACCACGTGAAGAGCTTTTTTTGACCATTTTGCTAGGCACTCTGTCATCACTGCATTCGTACTGTGGCATCTAAGAAGTCAGAGCTATTTTGAACTTACCACAATATTATTTTTGCATTGATGTCTTTCCTGTATGGGAAAGGTGATCTAATATCAAGTTGGGGTTTTTCAACTTGAGTTTTGAGGGAGTCCAGTTGGTCTGCCTCACTGTAGTCATTCCAGGCTGGCAGAGAATCAATATCCACAAATTGGGAAGGAGCACCCAAGGGATCCATGGAATGGAAACAGCAACTCCTCTTTCCACTACCTCTTCAGCACTCCAGTTCTCACTGGAGTCTTTCTGGTGCTTCAGAGGAGAAAAAAATAGGGTCACAGACCTGGATTTTCACTGAGAACAATTCTAGAAGAGTTAGAGTTTTCATAAAGGAAAGCTGAACAACAACTAAAGCATTTGCGGGTAGCAATGTAGTTAAGATTCACAGGCTATTTTGTTCACAACCTGTCCTCTGTATGATTTCATTTTTTTATCTCAAAATGTTTGTGCTTGGTCTCAGTACAAAGGTGAATTGTTTTGGAAAGTCTGAGCTAAGATAATTAATCTGTTTTTGAATTATCCAATGGTGAAAAAAAACCCTAATTTTCCACACTATAAAAAAAATTGTTCCAATTGGTTTGTAAACTTGAACCTTAAAAAATGCTGAATCTATAAACTCCACATTTTGCAGATTTGTGGTTCAGCCTAAGAAAGAAAAATCAAATTTGAAGAAAAGTGATTCAGCATTTTAAGTCAAAAACTTAAATTACACACATATATACATATCAGGATAGATTTTTCTTTTCTGACTACCTTTTACATCCAATCCTCCATCCTCCACTGCAAATGAAGTGCTCTTGAAGTCATTTAGAGTTAAGGGTGCTTAGCTTCTCTTAGGATCAGGCCCTTACTGCTTTAGTAACATTTAAACACTTTAAAAACAAAACAGTCAAATTTGCTTACTCTCTATTTTGCAAAAATCAATAGCGCCTAGTGGACTGTCAGTCACTAATACAAATTAAGATCTATTTCTCCCATGCCCCCTCCAAAGGCTTGGGAAGTTTAGCACTTAAGCTACTGTTCAGTTAATTTTTAACTTTGGGTTAATTTAACTGGTAACAACTTTGAAAATCTCTTATTTCTCATGTAGTCAAAAAGATGCATTTTCCCAGGCCTGCTCTGAATCAGCCTGGACATTCTGTAAAGTCACAAACATTGATAAAGCGACTTGCATGCAGTTTAGCAGTGCTCCTAGATTCATCACTAACACTAATTTCTTATACAGCAGCATTTTCAAATGATGCTTTCTATGATCTGATGGAATAGGCAAATCTGCCTCATCCTAGCAAATGATCACCTGGCCTCCATTATGCACATCTTTTTCAACTCCTGTCTGGACTACAGCAATGCAATATACCTGGACACAAAGCCCTCAGGAAACTCCAAATAGTACAGAAAACTACAGCACATCTCTTCAATAACCTGCACTACAGCAAACACAAGCAGAATATGAAGGTCAAGGTCTTGTTCCTTACCTTCAAGTAAATTACTCCTGGAGGAATTCTGCACCACTGCGTATGCACAGAATTTATGCCCCTCACAGATTTCTTTGCTTCCCTTCAGAAAAATGACTTTCTAACAGGAAAGCAAAGGGAAGCCACAAGAGTGGTCATGTGACCCTCCCCAAGCATGTTTCAGGTGCCCAGGGCAGCCGGCAGAGAGGTAAATCACTGTGTGACAGGGACAGACTGGAGAAGACCTGGCTGGTGGCTCCTACCCTGCACTGGGCTCAGTTGCTAGTCCCGGCTGAGCTGGGGAGGACAGGACTTCCTCTTCCCCTGCACAGCATCCGGGGCCATGTCAGACCCATCCCAACATTTCTCTCTCCCCCAGGTGCAGGAAGCTCTGCAAACTCCTCATCACCCTGCTTCCTGCACCCATCGCTCCTCAGCTGTAGAGCGAAGGATCACTGTAGAGCTGCTCTCTTATCTGCCCAACCCCTGTGCATCCAGACCCCCTCATACCAAATCCACCTGCTGAGCCTCATCCCCCCAACGAGCCCCCCTCCCACTGCACCTGGACCACTCCAACGAGCCACCCGCACCTGGATCTCCCTGCACTGAGCCCCAACCAGCTGCACCTGGATCCCCATCCCACTGAGCCCCACTCCCCCAGCATTTGGACCCCCTAACTGAGCTTCCCACACCCAGACCCCCCCCTGCCAAGCTCTAGCCCCCACACACCCAGATCCCCCCCCCCCCATCTTCACCTGGACCTCCCTGCAAAGTGCCACTACCCTTACACCCAGAACCCCCAACAAGCCCCGTGCATCAAGATCCCTCCCACACCCAGATCCCTACCCATATTGCCTCAAACAGAACCCTCTCAACCCACACCTGGATCCCCCCACACCAAGCCCCTCTGCACTTGGATCCTGCCTTGCTGACCCTGCCTACCCACACCTGGTGCACCTGGCACAGACAGGCAGGGCCCTGGGGTGTTTCTGGGGCAGGACTGGGTGCAGCTTCACCACCGAGTCTGTGTCCCAAGGGGGAGGGAAACTACATCGTGATCTCCCATCTCTGTGCAGCCGGTGGCCTGTGCTCCCCAATGCCATGCTGGAGCATCCACGTTTACCTGACAAATAAAATTTGCAGAATTTTAAAATATCGTAAGCAGAATTTTTTATTTTTGGTGCAGAATGCCCTCAAGAGTAAGTATTTAAAGGCCTGGACCCAGGGTACCTAAAACTATGGGATGAAGGCCATGTTTCATAACTCTGCTCCTCAGACACAATGGAATGCTTCTCAATAAGGGTAAAGCTGGTTGTGTAGAAGACAGTTTCTTGGGGTCTAGTCCCAGACTGTGGAATGAACTAACACAGGAACTAAGGCTCATCCCAAAACATCACTTTCTTCCGCTCCAAGTGCAAGGTGCACTTCTTTGATCTTATCTTCTCTAACAGACAAACAGCAGCATGTACACTAAAATAAAAATCCCAAAGCAAACCCAAACCAATACACCAGAGCAACTAGCACCACAGCAGCTACTGGCATGTTGAACTGAGAGACAAACATGAACCAGTGAGAAAAACTGTTCAGAACCCCATGAGAAAATAAATAGTACTATACTACGTGGCAGTCTACCATTGAATTAAGACAGACGCTTGGGATGAAACCTCAAATGCACTGAAGCCCTTAGAAACTTGTATCCGTTTCTGACTGAGATCCAAAGTTTGTTCTTTTTGCACAAGTATACATACTTGTTGCGTCACTGAAGCAGGTGGTACATTCCACGCGAGCAGAAAGATTAATAAAAACCAGAAGGGAAGCAGAAAAAAGGCAACAGAAACACTTACTGGGAAGAGGGACATATTTGAAAGGAAAGATTAAGAGTTGAAAATATATAGTTTGGCAAAACAATAAATACTGGGGTGGCGGGCATGATAAGTCTAACAGTGAGACCGATACAAAGCAAGGAGGAAGAGAAATTGCGTTAGGTGATACGTAAGGTAAGGTGCAAATAGGAAAACTTTGAGGAAAACAAAAGCAGAAAAGTTAGACGGAATAATGGGAAACATTAGCCCTGGTCATTTCTCTCTTAGGAGAGGTTTCAGAGGAACAGCCGTGTTAGTCTGTATTCGCAAAAAGAAAAGGAGTACTTGTGGCACCTTAGAGACTAACCAATTTATTTGAGCATGAGCTTTCGTGAGCTACAGCTCACTTCATCAGATATAAATGAATAAATCAAATAAATTGGTTAGTCTCTAAGGTGCCACAAGTACTCCTTTTCTCTTAGGAGAGTCTTTCACGAGAAGCAAGTGAAGTCAGTGACCGATAAGGTCTTCCGGACCGAGAGCCCATCCCTTTGTTTCGGTCTGCGTGCAGCTTCACACCTATTTGCCTCGGGGGGGTTCACCCCCCCCCCCCCAATACGCGTCTTGACCTTTCCCGAGATGCCTCGCGCGACGGAGAGCGGACAACAGCAGCCCCGGCGAGAACAGGGGCTGTGCCCCAGAGAAGGGCCGGCCCCGGGCAGGGATCCCTCCCCCAGGGGCCTCGCCGAGCGCAGATGGCAGGAACCGAAGGACGCTCCTGGACAAACGCTCGGAGCTTTTCTCAGCGCCCTAAAGCAAGAGACACAGAGACTCCCCCTCCCCCGCCGCGCCGGCAGGGACACGGGCCCCGCAACCCAACGGACGCGGAGGAGCGGTTCCAGGCCGTGCGGCTGCAGCGGGGTTGGGGGGGTGTCACACAGCGACCGGCCCCGCCCGGGCCCCTCAGCACAGAACAGCGACCCCACCCTGCCTAGCAACGTCCGCTCAGGGAGCTCCCCCTTAGCAACGGGCCCCAGCGCCATCCCGTGTCCAACCGCTCGCTCGTGCCCCTCTCGCCGCGGATCACCCCTCACTCACGGGCCGGCCCCGCTGCCCCCATCCGGCGAGAGGGTCCCAGGGGTAGCAGTCGACTCAGCAACATCACCCCGGAAATGGGCACTGAGGCTGGCTTCCCCCCCTTCCGCTTCCGGATCAAAGCCGACCAATCCCGCACCGAACAGCCGGGGTGAGGTGAGATCCTGCGTCACTTCCGCCGGGACGCTGAACGGCCCGGCCATTGTCCTTCCCGTGCGGAGCGAGAGACGGTGTCTGCGCGCGAGTGACCCGCAGAGCCACGTGGGGGCGGTGAGCGCGGGCCCGGCGCGTGGCGGGGGCGGGCTTTGGGTCTTACGGCGAACGCGGCGTGGCAGCGCCTCCCCCGCCCGCTCGCCCCTTCCCCAGCGCGGTCGGTGGCCCCTGCCTGGCCGGCGCTGCCGGGCCTCGATCCCAGAGGAGCCGGAGCTAGGGGCGCTGCCGCACCCCGGGCTTGAAGTGGTTCCGGTCCCTGTGCTAGGTTTACGGTTTGGTTCAATGGCGCCCAGCTCCCCCCGCACTGTGCACGTCGTTCCCGCGCCCCTGCTCATTGCCGCCCCGGCAACCGGGCCCTGCCGCTCGCGACCCGGCATAGGCGGCGCCCAGGAGCGACCCCTCAGCCGCGGGGCGCGGCTTTGGCAGCGTGGCGGGTCAGAGCGGCTGCTGTTGGATCCTCTGGGAGGAAAAAATAACCCCAAGCCCAGCAGTGCTTACTGGGAAGGAGAAATCAGGGCAGTAGCGATGGTGGGGGCGGGGGGGGGAAGGGAACACAAAGTCGGTGTGACTGTGCAGTGCGATAAGGCGGGTGGAAAGCGAAGGTAGCGTTGAGCTGCGTGTGTAGAGGCATCAGGGAGGGGAGAGCAGGGGGGAGGCCTCATCTAGAATATTGCATTTGGTTCTAGGTTCGGTGTTTATGAAAAGATTTAAAAACAGAATATGTATAACAATGGTGCGATGACAAAGAAGGAGCATGGTAATTCCCTGTAAATACTTGTAGGGTGGCAATTATAGTTCCCAAAGTGGGAATAATTAAGAGTAATGGGAGTAATTGTGCAAAGAAAAATGTAGTCTGAATAATGGAAAAACTTAGCGCAGTCTGGCACACTGTGGGGTAGTCTCCCAAGGGAAGTGTTGAGAACCCCTTTGTTTTTAATGTTTGTCCTCTCCAGTTTAAATAACACTAGAAAAAGTTCTGTGGGTCCACTTTTCCTCTAATGTCATACAGCAGGTCTTTTCCAGCCCTAATTTCTCTTTATACATGAAATTCTTCTCAGTGTTTCTTGTTTTCTGTTTATATCCAGGTCAGCTCCCACCTGGGTCTGGAAATTGCACCATGGGTCTCACAAAGCAATATCTGCGCTACACAGCTAGTGCATTGTTTGGAGTGATTGCTAGCCAGAAAGGCAACATCGTCTATGTGGCCCTGCGGGGTGAAAAGGGCCGCTATGTGGCAGTGCCAGCATGTGAGCATGTCTTCATCTGGGACACCCGGAAAGGCGAGAAGGTGATGAGCTGGTTTCCCCCATTGTGAACCAGAATGGGATGACGCTGCTGTGTTGTATGGCAAGTGAGACTAGAAAACTGTAGCTGCGTGAGTTATCTTTGCTGGGAGCTCCCCAGGCAGAGAGATCAAATAAACATAGAAATAGTGGCTTCTAATATGCCACTTTAGTATCATCTGCAACCTTTGCCGCCTCACTGCTTACCCCTTTCTCCAGATCATTTATGAATAAGTTGAATAGGATTGGTCCTAGGACTGACCCTTGGGGAACACCGCTAGTTATCCCTCTCCCTTCTGAAAATTTACCATTTATTCCTACCCTTTGTTCCCTGTCTTTTAACCAGTTCTCAGTCCATGAAAGGATCTTCCCTCTTATCCCATGGCAACTTAATTTATGTAAGAGCCTTTGACAAAGGCTTTCTGGAAATCTAAGTACACTATGTCCACTGGATCTCCCTTGTCCACATGTTTGTTGACCCCTTCAGAGAACTCTAATAGATTAGTAAAACATGATTTTCCTTTACAGAAACCATGCTGACTTTTGCCCAACAATTTATGTTCTTCTATGTGTCTGACGGTTGTATTCTTTACTATTGTTTCAACTAACTTGCCCAGTACTGACGTTAGACTTACTGGTCTGTAATTGCCAGAATCTCCTCTAGAGCCCTTTTAAAATATTGGTGCTACATTAGCTATCTTCCAGTCATTGGGTACAGAAGCTGATTTAAAGGACAGGTTACAAACCATAGTTCCGCAATTTCACATTTGAGTTCTTTCAGAACTCTTGGGTAAATATGATCTGTTCCCGGTGACTTGTTACTGTTAAATTTCTCAATTAATTCCAGAACTTCCTCTAGTGACACTTCAGTCTATGACAATTCCTCAGATTTTTCACCTACAAAGGACAGCTCAGGTTTGGGAATCTCCCTAACATCCTCAGCCTTGAAGACTGAAGCAAAAAATTCATTTAGTTTCTCTGCAATGACTTTATCATCTTTAAGTGCTCCTTTTGTATCTCGATTGTCCAGGGGCCCCACTGGTTGTATAGTAGGCTTCCTGCTTCTGATGTACTTAAAAACATTTTGTTATTACCTTTTGAGTTTTTGGCTAGCTGTTCTTCAAACTCCTTTTTGACTTTTCTTATTACATTTTTACACTTAATTTGGCAGAGTTTATGCTCCTTTCTATTTACCTCACTAGGATTTGACTCCCACTTTTTAAAAGATGCCTTTTTATCTCTCACTGCTTCTTTTACATGGTTGTTAAGCCACGGTGGCTCTTTTTTAGTTCTTTTACTGTGTTTTTTTAATTTGGGGTATACATTTAAGTTGGGCCTCTATTATGTTGTCTTTGAAAAGTGTCCATGTAGTTTGCAGGGATTTCACTCTAGTCACTGTACCTTTTAATTTCTGTTTAACTAACCTCCTAATTTTTGCATAGTTCCCCTTTCTGAAATTAAAAGCCATAGCGTTGGGCTGTTGAGGTGTTCTTCCCATCGCAGGAACATTAACCGTTTATTATATTATGGTCACTATTTCCAAGCGGTCCTGTTAGTTACCTCTTGGACCAGATCCAGCGCTCCACTGAGGACTAAATCGAGAATTGCCTCTCCCCTTGTGGGTTCCTGTACCAGTTGCTCCAAGAAGTAGTCATTTAAAGTATCGAGAAATTTTGTGTCTGCATTTCATCCTGAGGTGACATGTGCCCAGTCAATATGGGGATAATTGAAATCCCCCACTATTACTGAGTTCTTTATTTTGATAGCCTCTCTAATCTCCCTTAGCATTTCATCATCACTATCACTGTCCTGGTCAGATGGTTGATAATAGATCCCTATTATACTATTATATTCTTATTAGAGCATGGAATTACTATCCATAGAGATTCTATGGAACATGTGGATTCATTTAAGATTTTTACTTGATTTGATTCTGCATTTTCTTTCACATACAGTGCCTCTGTCCTTCAATATATTTTGTACCCCAGAATGATTGTGTCCCATTGATTATCCTCACTCCACCAGGTTTCTGTGGTGCCTAGTATATCAATATCCTCCTTTAACACGAGGCACTCTAGTTCACCCATCTTATTATTTAGACTTCTAGCATTTGTGTACAAGTACTTTAAAAACTTGTCACTGTTTATTTGTCTGCCCTTTTCTGATGTGTCAGATTTATTTTTTATGTGAATGTTTCTCGTCTGATCTGGCCCGTACTTTATCCTCTTCCATCCGTTCCTGACTAAAACCTAGAGAATCTTTATCAATAGCAGGGGTGGGCAAACTTTTTGGGCTGAGGGCCACATCTGAGTGGGGAAATGGTATGCAGGCCAGGGGGCTGGGGTGCGGGGGGGCGTGTGGGAGTGGGTGCAGTGTGCAGGAATAGGCTCAGGGCAAGGGATTGGGGCAGAGGCGGGGTGCGGGTGTATGAGGAGGCTCAGGGAAGGGGGTTGGGGTGCAGAGTGCAGGAGGGCGCTCAGGGGAGGGGTGCAGGAGGGGTGTGGACTGCGGGAGGAAGCTCAGGGCAGGGGGTTGGGGTGCAGGCAGGGTGCGATGGGGCTCAGGGCAGGGAGTTGGGGGGTGGGTGCAGGAAGAGTTTGGGCTCCGGCCCAGCACTGCTTACCTAAAGTGGCTCCGGGGTGGCAGCGGCATGCACAAGGGCCAGGGCAGGCTCCCTCCATGCCTGCCCTGGCCCCACCCCTCTGGGAAGCGACTGGAACCATGTCCCTGTGCAGCCCATGGGGGGAGGGGTGGGGCACAGGGCTCTGTGCGCTGCCCTTGCCACATCTCCAGGTACCTCCCCCGAAGCTCCCATTGGCCACAGTTCCCTGTTCCCGGCCAATGGGAGCTGCGGAGGGCGGTGCCTGGAGGCAAGGGCCATGCATGGAGCCCTCTGCTTGCCCCTCACCCCCGGGGCCCAGGGACATGGTGCCAGCCACTTCTGAGAGCGGCGTGGGGCCTGCAGCACCATGGGGGGCAATCCTGTGGGCTGTTGTTTGCCCACCCTGATCAATAGACTCGCCTTTCAGAGAAGTCTCTGTCTGATCCACGTGCTCTGCTGCAGCAATCGGCATTCACCCGTCTCTTAGTTTAAAAACTGCTCTGCAACCTTTTTATTGTTAAGTGCCAGCTGTCTGAATCCACTTTGGTTTAGGTGGAGCCCATCCTTCTTGTATAGGCTCCCCCATCCCAAAAGTTTCCCCAGTTCCTAATAAATCGAAAGCCCTTCTCTCTACACTATCATCTCATCCACCCATTGAGACTCTGAAGCTGTGCCTGCCTGGCCCTGCGCGTGGAACTGGAAGCATTTCTGAGAATGCCACCATGGAGGTCCTGGATTTCAGTATCTTTCCTAGCAGCCTAAATTTGGCCTCCAGGACATCTCTCCTTCCCTTCCCTATGTCATTGGTACCTACATGTACCACGACCACCGGCTCCTCCCCAGCACTGCACATAAGTCTATCTAGCTGCCTCAAGAGATCCGCATCCTTCGCGCCAGGCAGGCAAGTCACCGTACGGTTCTCCTGGTCATCACAAACCCAGCTATCTATGTTTCTAATGATCGAATCTCCCATTACTAACATCTGTCTTTTCCTAATGACTGGAGTTCCCTCCCCTGGA